TAGAATATATTATTTTGCATTTTTGATAATATACAATGAGTACTTTGAAGCACTAGTGTGTAAAATGATACTTTTACGCACTTGTATTCCGTAATCGTGTAAAATAATATTTTTTTACAGAATTAGCAATAAATTTCACAAATATACAGTTAATTGTGAGTAAAACTGTCAAGAAAATGTTAAAATGGCCATTTTTTGCAGCACTAGTGTGTAAAATTATACTTTTACACACTTGAACTCATAAACACGTAAAATAAGTCTTTTCACGGAACAAGTATAAAATTAACAAAATCCCAATGAATTATTTATTCAACTGCCAAGAAAATGTGAAAAAAGCTAATTTTACGCACTAGTGCTTAAATATTTGGACAAAAATATGAAAAACAGTTAAATTATCCTCAGTAACACCCTGTATAAAATTCTAAGCGTACTATTGCAATTTATAAAACCAAAATTTTCATTTTTGCATCCTGCGTGCCTAAAACGATGACTTTACACACTGACACCTCCAAACCTTCCAATTTCCACGCACCCATCTGTTAAAACCGAATGTAATAAACATGACTCCCTTCCGTTTCATTATCCTGATGATGATCCTGAAAAATCCAGCGCGTAAATCTACATATTTTGGCGTTTGATGTTGTTGTTAACACTAATGGGTTTTTCCGCCCGCGCGCCGTCGCAGCGCTCGTTAATATTAATACGCGAGATATGTTTGGCAGGCGTCTCCTGCGCGTGTCCTGCAGGACTCTGTGCAGTGTACACATGCGACACTCTCCTGATGTATTTATCGCGCGGCGGCGGCTGTGGCAGTGGCCGCATCGGGTTTCGTTCTTTTTATTTTTATGATTTATTGTAATTTATGCTCTCGTTAACCTAGCTACGTGACTAAATCCTCATTTGAATATACGTAATACTCGTAGGTTATGGGATTATGCGGTCGGTCTAGGAATCAAGATGGCGGCAAAGATTAACAAGGATTTCTTTGTTTTTATTGTAATATCTTAATATGAATTGAGTGATGGATGGGGTTTTGATGAATTTATGCACTAGTGCGTAAAAGTGTTACTTTACACACTTAAATATCAAAGTCTGGGCAAAAATGCCAAAAATTTAACAGTTTACGATGATTGGGAGCTATCAAAATGGCTGCTAAATAAATTAAATCTGGTTTTTATTCTAATTGAATTTTAAAAACTTATACTTTTTGCACTAGTGCGTAAAAGTATTACTTTACACACGTAAAAAAAAATTTTTGGAAAAAAATTTGATTTAAAGTTTGACAATTATCTTAGGTTATGTTTTTTTTTGTTCTTTTAAAATGGCTAATGAGCACTTTTTGTATTAATACGAAAAAGTACCACTTTACACCCTTAAATACCAAATTCTGGACAAAAATGTCAAAAATTTAACAGTTTACGATGATTGGGAGCTATCGAAATGGCTGGTAAATAAATTGAATCTGGTTTTTATTCTAATAGAATTTTAAAACTCATACTTTTTGCTTTAGTGCGTAAAAGTATTACTTTACACACTTAACAAAGAATTTTGTGTAAAAAAATATTAAAATTTTGACCATCAACATAGGTTATGATTTTTGTTAATTTAAAATGGCTACTAAGCACTTTTTGCACTAGTACGCAAAAGTGCCATTTTACGCACTTAAATACCAAATTCTGGACAAAAATGTCAAAAATTTGACAGATTACGATGTTAGACATAAATTATGCACTTTATGTGCTATCAAAATGGCTGCCAAATAAATTAAATCTATTTTTAACTAAAAAGAAAATTAAAAACTCATACTTTTTGCACTAGTGCGCCAAAATATTACTTTATACACTCAAAAATTACTTTTTTGTAAAAATATCAAAAATTCGACAGTTTATTGATGTTAAACATAGGTTATGTTTTTTGTGGGCTTCCAAAATGGCTGCTAAATAAATATAACCTATTTTTACTTTTAATTACGTTCACACAATCCGTAAAATCAATAAAAATAAAACCCTAGATAAACTAGTGTCCCACAAAATGTCCAGCCGGCTAGCAGGGTATCAAATAACTCATCCTGGCCGTCGTGGCAAACAAATAGGTTTTCTTTTCCTGGACGTCCACACAAACACAGAATCCTTGCCAATCTTCTCTGGTGCTGTTCATGTTTATCCTCAGCATGTGTGCGGCATGAAGAATTCAATAGCCAATAAGTAATTCAATCACACATCGCATTGTTTACGCTCACATCCTTGAAGACCAATAAGGACGAAAAAGGATCTTGTATATTTCATTAAAAAAACAAAATTTTAATTAAACTCATACAAAAGGAAAAAAACACATGAAAATTATTATGTATAATGTAAAAATGAATAGGAAAACGTGTTTGAAAGCGCATAACTCAACAACGCCTGTATTAATTTGTCCAATTCTTTTTTTAAAATGTTTGTTAATGTCCAAGGATGGTTTTTACGGTGAGAAAAATTCGAATAATTGCTGGGAAAACCCTCAAAACAGCCCTTTTCTATAGGATAAAAGTTGGCATTGAAATTCAATCATAGTTATAATTAACTAGTTGAATCCGAGATGGCACGCTGAAGTGCATTATAAGCAATCCCTACTAATATTATAAATGAGAAAGTCCTGATGTTTGTTACACTTTGACGCAAAAACTACTTAACCGATCATCATGAAAATTTGTACACATATTCTTTGTGGTCCCCGAATGGTTATAGGCTACTTTATATTTAATAAAAAAATTATTTTTGAAATAAAATAAAGAAATTGTTTAGCCAATAATACCTCTGCATCTGGCTATTTGACTACTTTAACGCCGTCTAGCATTCTAGCAATGAAGCTCAAACCTAAGTACTATAGTACCATCACACTGTATTATCACACTGTATTACCGACAGCTACGTCAATATCAAATCCAATTGACTACACTATGGAGACTGTACACTATACTTCCATAGACTATACTTTCAGCCATTTTAAACTTTCCGCCATTCTACTTCATTGTTACATCTTCTGTGACTACAGACGCGTACGGAAGCAACTTCATTATTTTAGATATTCACGAGCGAAGCCGTGGGTTAAAGCTAGTTCTTTATATAATTAATTTCTTTAAAATAAAATTACGAATCTTGATAGAATTGACACATACTATGTCTAAAACAAGAGATAAAAACAAATTACATTTTTATTAAACACTACCGGGACGAAATCGCGGGCAAAAGCTAGTTAAACATAAAAATACCATTTTTTATTTCCAGGAATAAAAAAGGACTAAACAAGGACTAAAAATTGAGTGGTTAATTTTTTCTCGAGATGAGGTATAAAATAGATATAGGCACACAAAGTTAAAGTGTACGAAATTGAAAAATATTTAATTTACAGCGCAGGATAATGAAAGCCTGGAGAGGAGTGTTTGCAGGAGGGTGCTGATTATGCGCGAGCACGAAACCGTTAAGGGTAACGGCTTCATATCATCGCTGGGGAAATCACGCACGCGTGTTACTTGCAAACATCAAAACAAACGCGTGGGCGTCCGGACGCAACGACGAGTTCTTAGATTATTGAAGGACTAACGCGTACAATGCTAATGCGATACGGAATCATCAAATTTCATTATACTTCCAATCATTTTCCGGCATTTTCATTTGGAATTTTAAGGATCAAGATGGCGTCATAGTAAAACAAGTGCGTAAAATGAGATTTTTCACATTTTAAAGTAAAAAATCCAAAAAAAATGTTTTTAACTTGTTAAAAAATATTGTTTTGCACATTGTTACTAAAAATTATAAGAAGTATTAGTTTATGACTGTGAGTAATATGATATTTTATACACTAGTGCGTAAAATTATCAAAAATATCGAAAAATAAGTTTTTGAAGCTTAATAATTGATATTTACTGTTTTTATTGTGTGTAGAATATTTTTCTTTGTATTCTTGATAATTTAAAATGAGTATTTTGGAGCACTAGTGCGTAAAATGATACTTTTTCACACTTCAACTAAAAAAACATGTAAAACAAGATTTTTACACAGAATTATCGACAAATTTAACAAAACTACACTCAATTAATTATTTACCCATCAAATAAAATGTAAAAATATCAAATTTTATGCACTAGTGCTTAAATATTTAGAAAAAAGATGAAAAACACTTCAAATTAATCCCAAAACTGTTTTTACAAAATTTTGTGCAATCTATTTCGATTTATGAACTCCAAATTCTCATTTCTTATCAGACAACGACTCCCAATCATTTCCACCATTTTAATTCAATATTCCAATAACTAAGATGGCGTCTTACAATATTTTAAACACGATTAACACATAAAACAAAACTTATATTTTATATTTTGTTAAAATAAAGGTTGTTGACCCGCCGTGCAGTGTGTAGTGTGCAGAGTGTGCGAGCCGGTGGCGGCTACCATGGTTGCCTAGTTACCGCCGCCAAAAAGGACGAGACACCGCAGCGCGCACGCGAATTGATCAGCTGCAGTCCTGCACGATTGCAATCGCACACATACCCACACATACAAACACAAACACAAGCAGGAATCCAGTGTTATCCTGCAGGAACACCAACATCTAACAGGATAATGTATTTTTGCAAGGATAACACACAAATAAACTTAAAAGACTTTAAGAAATATCATTTGGATCTCATCCAAGATTGAGAAATGTATTAAAGGAGTTAAATAATTTTATAGAAGCAAATTTGGTGTTTTTGTTTGTTTGTGTCGCAATTACACAAAAACCACTGGAGGGATTTTGTTGAATTTTGGTGTGGAGATATTTAAGATGATGGAAAATAATATAGGCTACTTTTTGTTGCGAAAATTTAACTGTAAGGGTGTTAAATAAGGGTTTAAAGTTGAAAAAGTGATAAAATCATAGTTTTAGTTACTTAATTCAACCACAGATGGCGTTAAACCGCATAAAAACAAAATTAAAACATTCTAAAGTTTAGTTTATGAAACAAATGTTGTTATTACTTACTGTCAGTGTCAAACTTGCGTATGATTGTCTCGATGAGCGTTGTCCTGGGCGCAACGAGGCCCCGACGCACCGGCATACTGCGTCTGGCGTCTTCCTAACCTCAAAACCCCAAACCGCACACACGTCACAGTCACAGTCACGCGTTACCATTGGATACCGCTACCGCACCGCCGCCATCTTGTCCCGCCGCAAACTTTGAACACGTTCCAGTCAAGTCAAGTCGTCAAGTCGTCAAAGTTATGAACACTTTGCGAAATATTTCAATAACCAAGGAACACCAAAACGCAACTCATCAACTATTCAAATATATTTCAACGAGTCTCCCACTCGCCGCGCACACTCGAAAACTTTAATATCCGTGCTTGTCCTTGAGCGAGAGGTGCTTATCACGTCACACAAATGTCAATCTATTAATTCTATCAATTTATGCAAAAAATATCACACGCTTCGTTCTGCTCGTTGCCATCACGCTAATTAGTGCCCGATTAATTTAGAGTTTAATTATCGCTAAGGGACGCTATAGATTTATATTTATGACAGGCTGATGATAGAAAGCTCTACGAATTTAATGTGTATGTGTGTGGTGAGAGAAAAGAGAAACGATTTTTTGTTTTTTGTTTTTTTTTTCTTTGTTTTAATGCGATATGCATTCAAGTGTTGGTCATTTTGGTGTCACAAAAAATAAGGCGACTTGATAAGGCAAACCTGTGATTTACTGCACTTTATTTAAGTTATAAGGGTGGTATTTACTATTTTTTTACTTTTATTTTTAATTTTTTACTCCGTAGCAAAGCTGTGTATAAAAAAGTTTTGTTTTAACATTCAAACGCGATAATTATATTAATTTGAGTGAGTATAGTAGATAATAGATAAGTAGTTGATTAATTAATTAATTCTATGAAGCGTTTTTTTATCTCTGTGTGTGTGTGTTTTCGGGTAAAAATCTTAAGTTGCGAGGCTTATTTTTAACGTCCCGGACGGCGGCTGGTGCCACGTCGCCGTCGCCGCCGGTTCTGCGTGCGGCTTGACGCCGCTGCCGAAATTATTCGCTCGCCGTGGACGGCGCACTGCCATCGCCTTCGTATCCAGCGGGCGTGTGGAATTCTCTTGATCACTGTGTGTTTAATTTTTATTTATTTTTTAAATAAAATCACACAGCACACATTTATTTCTGTATTTTGTGTTGGTATTGTTTTTGTTTTTGTTCGGTGCGCGCGTGATTACTTGATGGTTCACCCCGCGCGAGATGCACGCGTCGCGACGCACACACACGGTTCGACTGAGGCGTCGCGCCGCCTCCGTGCCGGCCGCCAGCTGCTTCCACTCGGCGTTTTGTGTGAATATGTGTGTGAATATGTGTGTGAATCCCACTCCGATGCTTTGTGCGCACACAGGCAGAGGTGAGGTATTTATTTATATACCAATTTGTTCGCATGTGGCGGTGTGCGGCGGTGTTGGTGGTGGTTTTTATTTTAATGTACGTTGTGTGCGCGCACGCAGGCGAGATTCACGCACGCGATGCGGCAAAACCGCGCGGTGCGTGTGCGGGGGCGGCGCGCGCATTGCCCACCCTCTGGGATACTGTAGTTGCTGACACCCCCGCTGCCAGGAAGCACATTGTTCACCTTTTCGGATAATTACTACTGCAGTTAATTGTGTTTCTTTGTTTTTAACGCGCCATTTTTATTTCGTAGAATAAAAAATTGTTTTTATTGTAAAAAACAGTTTAACGTCATATTATAAGTACTAAAATACCTTAAATATGTTATAGTAATTTATACCTTTATTGCTTTGTTTAAAATAATGGTTGAAATCTGCTAAAATCAATAAATAAACTAAAAATTATTTTAAATTTATTATTTTCGTACACCTAGCGACATCTATGTGATATTTTCTGAAGCTAAGTTGCGCATAATTTAATTTATGTTATTTTATTGAATATAAATCACTTATATTAATATTTACTGTTAATTTATAAGTAAAACATACCAATAAATGTTTATATTCTATAAAATTTCTACTTTTAAGCAATGTTTTGATGATTTATTTTTGACACTTGTCAAAAAAGTATGGTTAACAAATCTGTTTACAAATAATTCAGCTGTTAATGTTTATATTTATACAATTACATAATTAGATTTGAACTAATACGATGTGCACGGAAGTCGATGTATTTATAAGTAATTACACACTGGTCGATCCAGAAATTTATCAGTTATGGGTTGAAGGAAACACAGGTTTGTAAAATTTTACTTTTTTGTAATAAATCTATTAAATAATTGAATTAAATTGTTATTATTTATTTTTAGCTAGTGAAGCAGTATCTATTTTAAATAAACAAGGCCTGGGTCAGACTACAGGAGCAAGTCTTGAGTTGATTGCGAGTGATGTGCTGGATCACTATCGAACTTATTCTCTTCTTGAAAAATTGCTGAGTAATCCTAATAAACTGCAAGAACAAGTGGAATTTCAGATTGAACCTGCTACTAGACAATTGTTAATTGAGAAATATTATGATTTTGATGATAATGTCATTAGGGAATTGCTTGGAAAGAAGTTATCGTCAAGAAATAGGAAAGATTTGGATGAAGTTGCTGAGAAAACTGGTGTACCACTCAAATCATGCAGGTATTTATCATTTAATAGAGATATCACTTGGTTGAGAATGTGATTTTGATTGATTTTCATATTTTTCTCCTATTTTTGATCATATTTTCAAAGGAAATTAAAGTTTTCTTGAACAATCATCTTTTGTTGTCAATAAAACTCATTTTATACCAAAAATGCATAATATTTTCATCTAGTTAATCAAAATATACCTAAAACATTCTATTACTTCTTGAAAATACTGATATAATGTTTATTAATGAGTAATTTTGTTTCAGGAGACAATTTGACAATGTTAAACGAATCTACAAAACCGTTGAAGAAATGCCAGGATCAGTCGTGGCTAATATTCAGAAAATTTTCTTTTTATCAAAAGAATTAGCTCAGAAATATGGCTGTGTTGTCTTCCTAGCCTGCATACGCTTTGAAACCAACAAAAGAAGATTACAATATTTAAAATTTGTCGCTCTAAGAAAGTGTAGCGAAATAATTATGGATGTTTGGACGTATAGCAACACTTCAGCAGCGGATTATTACGACACCGAGATGGATAAAGAGTTTTTATTGGATTTAAGAGAGTTAAGAATTATTAGCGATCGAGAAAAAGAACACAAACAGTAAGTTGGATATATATAACCTTAAAATAAATTAGAATGTTAGGTTATGTATGTTTTTTTTGTTTATAGCTTGGTTTGTACATCATTAAAACCAACTCTCTTGACAAAAAGCTACGCTGAGACAGAAAGCAACTTCCGTACGTATTCACGCGCGATATTAGCCCTTGCAACATCCCTGCATCGTGCCAGAGAGTTGCGAAACTTATTTGTCGAAGTAGCGCAGTTTATTGAGATGTGTAAAGGTAATGGCTGGGCATCTAAAGATCTGAAACTCTTTCTGGATGCATATTCAACATGCGCGACTGAATTAGACGTAATGCGGTAAGTAAAACCAAAAAAACACTAAAATTTACAATGAAAAAATAATATTTAATCATTTTTAAAGGGATGGAGAACTGCGCGCCACCTGGGATCGTTTCATGAAAGTAATAGTACAATGTATTCTCATCATGTTTGGTTAAATTATTTTATAGGTTAATTTAATTGTTATTTTGTTGTAAAATGAATCGCGAATATTTAAAAACTATACTGCTGAATTAACAAAGAGCGGTGTATGCAAAGATTCGAAATAGTTACCCAATCCATTGTAAATAACTCCAGGTACGTTCCATTTGAACCAAAATAGGTTAAACAAGTACAGATAAAACAAAACAGTGAATATTTTATCGACATATTTCAATCTGAAATGATATTGCATGAAATATTGTGTTAATATTTGTTATTTCATTACTTACATGCGTATTCTTGTACGATTTGCTTCAAGTTTACTCATATCTTCCTTTAGGAGATATTTCAAGCCACCCATCATAGCATGCCGGAAGAATTCACGATGATCAATATCCTCAGCATCATAACCAAACTCTTCGACGTCTTTTTTCAGAAGTTTAAATTCCAGACTGTACAACGAAGTATTTTCTATTTTCCATTCGTTGAGGATGAAATATTTCAAAGCATTTACAGCGACAAAAATACGACGTTGGATAGACAACACCCTGTAAACAACATAACCTAATTTATAATCACCACCATTTTGTTTTGTTTATGTTTAATACATACACAGGTTTGTACTTGAGCATACGCAGAATCAAATCAAAGAACAACGCAGGAATAACTTGCATAAACAGCGAAACAAAATTGAAATACGCTTGACTTTCAGTACGGCGTAGAGTTGGATACCAGACACAAGTGGAAATGGCGCATTCTTCCGCTAAATCATGCGCCATTGTTGCTACATCGAGGGTAGACATCTTGGCGAAGTTATTGGCAGCACAATTGTGCACGGTTGTTGATTTCGCAGGTATATTATGACTGAAACACCACAAATTTTATGTAGACTGTTTGATCGATATGTATTCCAACTTACTCGTGTTCCTGCGTCATTCTGTACCAAGTAACATTCAAAAACGCACGAACGGCGAGATCCACCGGCAGGAAATCACAAGTTTGTTCTCTTAGTAAGTTGATTCTGATCAAACCAGTTCCATTGGCGGTTAACATCCCCACTGGACCATTGAAGTTATCAATCCAGCCTGGGATTGGGTCGGATCTGCTTGAAATCACTACAGAAAACAGGTTAGGTTAGTATAGAAACTTGTTTTTGTGTTTTGTTGTGATTAACTATTGCCCGCAGCTTTTTTAAGTAAAAATTTGTTTAATTTTTACTTTCTTGTTCGATTCTATCAATAAGATTTGCAGTTTTATTTAAAAAACGAAGAGAAATGCTAATAATGCACTCTAGCGCCATCTAGGATTGAAATTTTCAACTATAACAATGATTGAATCTCTAGAAAAACATTTATCTCTTATTTAACATACTTTAACTCATTATTTTTGATATTTTAATACGTATTATCCTATTCCTGACACAGACAAATCCAACAAATCATAAATCATCAAAATCTGTCCAGCGATTCTTAAGTTATAAACGTTGTAACTAACACAAAACTGTAATACATACCAATTGAAGGTCGTATAATCATATTAGCAACATTTCCATCCAATAAATCAAAAACAACCCTCTCCGCCAATCCTTTAGTATAAGTATACGTATTAGGATACGGTCCCAAGACATGTCCTTGCATAATGGACAACTGATAAGGTTCCAGAACCTCAGCTGCTTTGATACACTGTCTCCAATCAGCTGTTGCCGGGTACATCTTTTCTTCAATAGGATTGTATTCAGTATGTGCGTATGCAGTAGAAATATGCACCATCATCTGGACTTGTTTCATCGCCAATGCAAGGTTGCATACCTCACGAGTGCCACGGACATTCATGAAAATGGCGTCGGTTAACGCCTGGTCAAATTTCACTGTCGCCGCTACATGGTACACAATATTAACTTCATTGATTAACAGTTGAGTGTCTTCCGGGGAGAGGCCCAGATTCAACATGGTGACATCTCCGTTCACAGGGAAGACTTTCGCGGAGAAGTCACCTGGATGTTCAGCATGGAGTTTTTCAAATAACTAGATGAAGAAATTGTCATAAAGAAAAAAATATTAAGGTTAATGTTAATATTATTACCGGAATAGTTGACATTTCATCAATACGTTCCTGAATGCTTTTCCCTCGACGTTCCCGAATGAGGACATAGATTTTCTTCACTCCTGAACATGACCTTAGAAGTTTTTCAATAAGGACCTTCCCGATGAAGCCGGTACCTCCAGTAAGGAAGACAGTTTTCCCTATAAACAACTCCGGTACACCTAAGTCCTCCATTTTTTCAAAACTAAAACTTCACGATAAATGCTCCAAGTGTATTTATAACCTAAATTAGCATACATATACATACAATCATGTCTAATGTCCGGTTACTTCCGAGTGTAAAACATTAGATATTCAATTGTTTCATTGTGTATTTAGGTCGTTGACTTTTAAAAAGTCATCAATGTCATGTTTTTGTGTGTCACTATTGTGAATTAAAATGTCTGTAAAAGAATTGAATAAAGAATCGCGAGTTACCTTTCTACCAGAACCATCTTTTCAAGAAGATCATGAAGAAATTAAAGATGGAGAAGAAACCTCTGAACCGGAAACAGAATCTGAATCTATACCTGAAGAAACTGTTGAAGAGCAAACACCAATTCCTGAGGTGGTACCATCTGAAATTGAAAAAAGATTGAACCTATGATACTAATCGCTGAAGAAGAAGAAAAACAGAAGAATATGGGCAGAAAGTTGAAAGCACTGTGTTGATTATAACAGAAAGTAAGGTTAAGAAGGGTAAAGGTACCAAAACAGGAAAAGGTGCTTCAAAAAAAGGTAAACCCACGAAAGGTAAACCTAAAAAGGCAACACCAGCTTCAAATGAATTTGAATTAGTTGGTAAAAGCAATGATGAACTGGTCAAAATGTACTCCCAGAGTCTAGTACCTACAAAATCAAGATCCAAAACAAGATCGAAGAAATCCCTCCAACGTCTCACAAGTGAAGCTGAAGGTGAAGACACACAGGAAGACAAACCTTCAAAACCTCAATCCTGGGAGACTAACCTAGATCAAGACGCAGAATCCCTGACAACCCAGGATATCACCCCAAAAGAAGAACAAAAGAAGCCATTGAAGGAAAGTCTTCTCTACGAAGCAGTCAAGTGAAGAAACCTCCATCAAAAAATCCGTAGCTAAATTTCAATCAAAGGTTATGATACATGTGGAGAGTACCGCAGAGGTACCTGAAGATGCAGAACTAAACCCGTAGTAGACAAACCAAAACCAAAGAAAAAAGGGAAGAAGAAGAAAGACAAAGATAAACCAGATGATGTGGTACAACTCGCCCCGGTGAAAAGCACCCCAAGAGAATCTTTCATCCAACAAGCTTTTAATACCATGTCTTCAACCAGTTACAAACAGCGTATTGGTACCATTTTGGTCAAATCATCAAGGTGTAGATTTATAACCTAATACTGATTTGTTTAAAGCTCGTATGGGTAAAAGTGTTACTTCGGGATCCAAATCAAGAGTCTCTGCTGAACCGGAGTCCAGCAGTAGTTCTTCTTCAACAGCCAGTCAACCAAAAAGCAAGAGGAGGTCAGGCAGGTCTTCTTTTAAAATCGGCCGAAAAAAGACTAAGTTTAAGCGCGAACCAAGAGAATGGTCAACTGAAATGCCTGGAGAAGATGATGAGATTCTTCAAAAGATCACAGACCCATCAGGTTTATCCTAATCCTAACCTAAATGTTTTTATTTATGTTTTGTGTACCTCCAGTTACTAGCACTGGTAATGTTAATGTTGAACCTCCGAAAAAACTCCCAAAAAGAAGAAGAAAGTTAAAAAAGAACCTAAACCTAAGAAAGGAGCTAAAGCTGCAAAAGTATTTTATGATTCTTGTTATTTTTAGGTTAAATTTATGTTTTTGTAGGATAAAGCTAAAGAAAAGTTCAAAACGGACGCACAAATTGAAGAAGAAGCAAAAGCCAAGGCTGAAGAAGAAAGACTCATCGCGCTGGTTGATAAAAAGAATGCGATTGCAAAGGAAAAGAAGGAAATTTTGGAAGCATCCATGCGTGATGAGCAGTTGGATATGATTACCACAGAGATGGAACTCTGTGAGGCGGCTCTAGATGAGGTTATACAAGCCGCACAAGCAAAAGAAGAATGGAGACAGTATTTGGTCTGTGATGGATTACCAGCACCATGGGACGTACCAGGGATGAATACTTATATTCACCTTTGGGAGAAGGAGGTTTATACAGTGTCATCGGAAAGGTGTAAGGAAAGGACCACAGAAGCTATCAATGTACCAAAAAAAAATTTAAAAAAAAAAATTTTTTCAAAAATTCAATTTTTTAGTTGTTGAATCAACTTGATGATATCCGTGAAGACCCTTTTGATAAATCCGAACGTAGACGCAGTGATTGGGCTTGGGTGGCTTCCAGATTCAGGGAGTTCCAAGCCCTTAATTTGGAATATTGTACTTATCGTCTCCTTAGAGATATCAAGAGTAAAATGAATCGGATTGATATCCCTACAGCTGATTTCCGTATGCAGGAAGAGTTGTTTTCATTGTGTTTATGGGTTTCTATCACTTTACCCACTCCCACTCCTAATCCTCGGAGTGTGGCTAAACCTAGGATTAAACTAACCTGGCCTGAGTTGTGTGTGGATATCATGTTTCCACAGACTTTGAAAAGGGAAATGGTTGCCATCAGAGGGATGTATACTTATTATGACCACTTGACTGATACTAGTGAGACCTTTAGAGCACCACCTTTGCCTCCATATTATTTAAAAAGTATTTTTGAATATTTTTTAGAAGATTTGTTTTAAAGATGATTTTTAGCGTTAAGTCAAGCATGTCAAGAAGAAATCTTTGGTAAAATGAAGTATAAGTATGATAATCGTGTGAAACCCAAAATGGAACCTGTTGAGGTTATACAGGATGATGGTACAGTTGTGGTTATGGAACCAGAAGTAGAACCTGAGTTAGATGAAGATGTTATGGCTCCGCATGTTCCATATCGTAAACTTGATGTGTCTCCCAGTGTTTTTCATTTGAACAAAATGGGTATACAACCAGTCTAACATAACATAACCTAACTTTTACTTTATTATAATAATTGATTTTGTGTAGATAATGAACTTAAGGAATCTCTTCTTCAACTTGAACATGAAATACCTCCTGGTGTGCTCAACTTAAGAAAGTATACTGTTATCGGAGGAGTGTACTTTCTTGATCTTTATTATCAACCACCACAACCTCAAGGAATGGTCTCCTATGAAGTTTTTATATCAACTTGTAGGTTAGGTTTATGTAAAGAATTTTATTGAATTTTATTTTTGTGTATTTTGTAGTAACTGAACCTTATTCACTACAAACTGTACCCTATGTGGTAAAGTATGATCCTCCACCTCCACATGAGCCTGGGACAAGGAGAACTCCTGAAGAGATTGAAGAAGAACTTCTTCAACAAGAAAAAGAGTTGGATGAGTTGATCTTGTTGGAAATAACGTTTGTTTTTGTTTATATTTTGATGAATTTATAGGTTATTAATGGTTTTCTTTGTTTTTAGGTTACCTAAACATGTTTATTGGTTAGAACCACCAATGGTCGTCCAATGGGATTACGATTTAAAAGCGTGGACGCTCAATAATGTCTTTGATTTTAAAAATATTGAAGAAAAAGGTTATGTTACTTTTAGAACTGGGATATTTCGTCCTATTGCTATTGCAACCCTCAAATGGTCTAACCTTCCTTATCAAGCTTGGGAAATACGTCCTGAAAAAGAGTATTGTTGTATGCTATCAAATCATAACCTCAATTATTAACTTTTTCTGTAAATTTAGTGGAACTGTAACATTTCAATTGAGCTGCGCCATTTTGACGTTGGAATTCCACGTACAACAGAATACTATCTGCGTGAAGGATATACAGAGTGCTCCAAATGATGCTTTTGAACCACATTTAAATGTCTACTATAGTTTTTCTAAGCTAAGAAAGGTAATATTGACTTAAACCTTATTATAACCTTAAAATTATGTTGAATTAATGGTTTACAGATAATGAGATCAATTGGAATTGATGTATTTCCATATTTTGATACATTTCTCTACGTGGAAGGTACTTGTGAAAAGTATTGGCCAATGGAGAACCATCTGTACTTTTGTATGGCGTACTTAAGTGTTGTTTTCAATATGACTTGGTCAAGATGGAATATGACTTTGGATTACAGAGCGATTGTGTTTCAAATGAGAGCGTATCGATTTGATCGTCCTAAACAGGTATTAAAAAGGTTTAAAACTTCAAGTGTTTAATTTTTAATTTTGATGTATTTTAGGCCAACTTTGATACTGTTTTGGTGCGTGCGCAGAGTACAGCCTATATTGAATGTACAGAGGTTAGTCAGGAGTTCTCAGACGTGCCTGTTGAAGGAATGCGAGTAAGTAATACGTCATTGTTATCAACTGCAATTATTGATAATTGTTTATGATGGTTATTGTGGTTATAGTTTTTCGCTGACTTGTGGCATTTGGTGCGGTCTACGTCGATAAAGTCTCTGCGCAGTCGTATTACGAGCGCTGATAAGACTATGGTGAAAACTTTGTATCGATTATACAAAAATGTGCGGTTTTTGAGTTTTTCATAAAAGCATTTATCTTACCTAAATCAGCTACATTATTATTATTATTATTGTGTGATAGGGGTTGCATAAGTTATAAAAATTACTTTAATGCACTTTTGACGTGATAACGTCTTTAAAATCGTTCTAGTCGGGTGACATGTTCAGAAACTTGTCACGAGGCCTCTCGAGGTCGATCGCTATAACGAGAGAGAGACGGACCGATCTCCCGTCTCATCTCGAGCGCTACCAGTCATTCCGTGAAACTTGACACGCGGAATCCACACGAGCGGAGGCAGGCATAGCGTTCGAGTGAGTGGACCGATCTTCCGTCTCTCTCACTCTAGCGGCATACAAACGAATGGAGATTTTCTCGTGCGGTTAAGTTTTCGTTGAATGTTTAACAGTGACACAAAATGTGAAGTGCAAGTGAAGTGTTACAACAATTGCAACAAACAAAACTTATATCACCAATAAGACGTTATCACGTAAACATCTCGATCGTAAACCTACTTTACAAACAACCATTTTTTCTTAAAATTTGAGTTTTCACACGTGGGTTTAGGAGGAATGCAAAGTAAGTGTTTACCTTAATTATAATATATTATTGTAACTTGGTAGAAATGTCATTATTATTGTTATTGGCAATGTATTTTGTTGAAATTGCTGCGGTAATTGGTAGTTGTTTGCGTACTGATGGTATTTGTTACGTTTTACAAAAATTATCAGCACTAACGTATTATTAGCTCCATTGTCTTGGATAACTCTTTATCAGGAAATAAAGAAATGATGTATAAGTAGGTAATCCCTGAATAATTAAAATTTATCCGATTCATTCATGAATTGTAGTGAATTCTTATGAATCTGCCATTATAGGAATCTGTAACTGAGGTTATGGAAGCGGTAGACTTCCTTCAACACACCTACGAGTCGTTTTCTCTTCAAGACTTGTATTTTCCGGCAATACTGAGTCCTTTTTGTATTCCTAATCGTTTCTTTAGAAATCCCTCTTCGGATCTCATCCAGGTACGACTGAGCACATTGGTAGATGCGGGTTGACCAGCAACCTACCCGCAAAAAATGGTGGGGGAAGAATATCGTCATATTTACGCGATTTGATACGCATTAGGATATGCTATGAATAGAAGAGGCATGAGAGGAGTACCAGGAGAGAAATAAAAATAACAAAGAATATGAAGATTTCGTTCTAAACCCATAAGGATAATAAAACAAATGAAAATTTCCCCAGATTACTTAAAATTTATAATATGATTTTAGGTTAACTAAGTGAGTTAAAGCCAATGCTTCTGCAACAATATTTTCTGTTGATACTTCACGAATATTTTGCTACATTATGCAATGCAATATTACAGAACTTGAAAAGTTATAATGAAAAAATAAACCTATAATACAAACAGAAAATATATTGTCAAATAACATTCATTATAAACTTTTCGAATACTTCCCTTATCACCAACGTAATCCATCCAATTAAGAAATAACGTCCCAACTTTATCATGCAACACATACTAAATTACAGAGGAATCCTGAACACGCAGCTATTTCGAAACGAAAAATATCCGAATTATAGACGTAGTTATCGTTATCATATTCAAACAGAAATGTTATCAATGGCAGTATAAAAGGATATTATTAATATTGCGGAAAAACAGTTGTGTCAACATTCTGCACGATGCACGTTAAGGTTATAATCCTTTTGGTCACTTTAGTGGCTTTCTGTAATGGCCACCGCGAATTCGAAACAAAAGTCAAAAACGCAGACACATTCGCTGCGTTGTTGACGATTGCAAGGAACGAAAGTGAATCCGCTGATTCATTCATCTCACAACAAGCAGAGGACTACAAAAACGCTGTTATCAGTAACAACGAGACATACAATGCACTTGTTGAACAATTTGCAGAATCAGAGAAGACCAGAAAGTTACAGTGTATATTGAGAAAGTTTGATTATTCAAGAGTGAGGAAAAGTACTGGGCGATTGATTAAAGGCTACGCCAAAGAAAACATCCCGGAATATTTAAATAAAAAATATTCAAAGGAACGCGCGAAGTTAGAGAAGAATATTATTGATATTCAGTTGATGCAGGATAGGGCTGAACCAAGTGATGATGATAATCAAGATGGCGGTAATGAAGAAAATCAGGAAAATGAAGGAGATGGAGAAAATACTGAAAATGAAGGAGATGGAGAAAATACTGAAAATGAAGGAGATGGAGAAAATACTGAAAATGAAGGAGATGGAGAAAATCAGGAAAATGAAGGAGATGGAGAAAACACTGAAAACGAAGAAGAAGAACCTCCTGTAACTGAAAACCCAGTCCGTCCACCAACAGCAAGAGAAATCGCTGCGATGAAATCCCAAGCAAGGAAGATGATCATCAAAGCCCATAAAAGATTCTATCATGCCATCGAAAGGCACATGAAGGATAAAATCAATAATCAGGACGCCACTTTAACTCGCCGAAGAGGTGGTATGACCAAACGTGGCAGACGGCTCATGAAATGCGCTGTGTAGACATACAACAGAATTAAATATAAATAAACAATATAAAATATATTTAGTGATATACATACATAAAACATAGCAAGTCTAATAATGGCACAAATATATACAACACCTTCAATTTCAAGTTGTTTCACTTGTTACTGTTGAAACAAGCACCGGAGCAATACAAAACCTGATTCCTATACAAAAACTTCCCTCCCAGAAGTGGTTTATAGCAAACCCTGCAAGCGAAACATTGATCACTCGCATGAAAGTGATCCCCATTCAAATTAGCACCTTGTTCATTGGGTCTGATGATGTTTTTGCATGCTGTGCATCTATCTGCTTTCAGAAGTTCATAACAAGCAATACAAACAGGTTGACTGTTCTCCAGGAGGTAATCTTGACCTGCCAATGGTGTGTCACATTCAAAACAACAGAAATGCTTCACATGGTAGGTCATATCTTCAGTCAGGCAATACTCCTTTACGAAGATAAGTTCATCACATGCGTGACATCTTGGTATACCGCTGATTTTAGCATAATCACGACCACAATAGACATCGTCTGATTCTTTGTGGTAGTGGTAGATGAGATCAGCTAGATTTTGATTACAACCTTTGCATTTGAAGCAGGAGGTATGCCAGAGGGCGTCGGAACGTTCAATCTGGATCACCACAGCGTTGTCATCGATTAGTTTCTTGCATCGGTGACATACAGGGAGGTCATATGTCAGATCACCACTGTCATAAGGTATGTTGTTAGGGTCTTGAGTGGATCTCACATGTAAATTGGATGAATTGATTGCGTTGATGTCGTTGATGATCCCGACATTAACCTGACATGGTTCTTGGATATCCTCCGTAGGGTTTCTTAGTGACATGGCAGCGAAATTTGGTATAGGACGCCCTGTTCTAGGATCAATCAAGTTTCCATACTTATCTACAACAGGAGGTAGTCCTGTCAAGGTAGACCCAGAAGGTGATATCTCTTCAGGTTCTAGGTAGATGGGTATACCTTCAACTGTAGCACCATTCCGATCTACTTTAACCCTGATTGGAACGTTGGTTTTATCTAATAATGGTCCTGATTTACCATGTAGGGTTGCTCCTTGTATGTCAACATTCCCCGCTGATATCTGCATAACAGGACATCCATAATGATCCAGTTTAATCTCAACTGGACATCCTACATTGTCCAGAATAGGTACCCCCGATGCAGATACAAGTTGACAACCTTCTAGGTCATTCAAAAACTTGTTATCACCTTTGTGTAACATACTAGACCATTGTGGTTTGAGACTTCCAGGTAGACCATTAGAGTTGATCACTCTAGGGACATGTAGGTATGTTATGGGGTGTACCGCATGTGTGACTCCATTTTGGTCCAAAGGCATGGAATATTTCGCTTCTCCTTTGAGGTCTTCATTTAAAGGTCGACCTAGGATATCTACCTGAGTTCGTAGGGGACCACCTTTAGGGTCTTTTGGATCTTTTAGTGGTTTCTCGTTTTTGTCTAGTAATATAGCCAATTGGGGAGGTCCCAAAGGTTCATGGGTGCTGAAAGCTATGTTTTTGATAGGACTTCCATACTTGTCTAATATAGGTGCGCCATTTCTATCCAGGAACATGACATATTCAGGATGACGAGGACCTAGTTTTTCAATAACGTAGGGTTCATACCTAGGACGTAAAAAGCGGTCCAAGGGTACCTTTATAGGTGATCCCGTGTTATCCTTCATAGGACATTCATGTTCATCCAATAGCAACCCATATTGAGGTCTTAACTCATTATCGAATTTATCAACTATCACATCTCTATAAGCATTGAAGTTCTGACTCTCCAAAATGTCTCCTTTGTCATCCAACAAGACAGAGTATGATGGTACCTGTTGATTTATCTCTTCCGCGATGGTTTCACTAATAATAGGACCTCTGAAAGCATCTAGATAACTGGTAATAGGATCTCCAAATTTATCCCTCAAAACATTCTTCTCTGCATCCAGGAATATAGCAAATTTGGGTGCGGGTTGATTACCAATGGGGCGTTTAAGAGGTGATCCATCCGGGCCCAAAATAGGAGCACCATTCTTATCCAAATACACAATATATTTAGGTGCTTGATCACCAGTGAAAACTTCACTCAACACTTTATCAAAAATAGGCCTACCATAGACATCCATGCGCACCTTCAAAGGACTACCAAGTTTATCCATAACAGGCAGTGAATTTCTATCCAAAAGTAAACCCATGTAAGGTTTCACTTCATTACCAAACTTATCCATTAATATGGGGATCTCATTCTTAACCACTTCTTGGATAGGTTTCCTCACTGGATTACCTTCTCCACCCAAGATGGGAGCACCGTTTTTATCCAGTAACATAGCAAACTCTGCTTTTGCAATTGGGCTTATTTTCTCAACCAAAGCCACATCAAAGATCGGATTCCCGAATAAATCTAAAGTTGCTTTGATTGGTTTACCCATTGGGTCCTTTAATGGTGACCCGCTTTTATCTAACAACATAGCATATTGCGCCCTAGCAGGATTTCCATATTCATCCAGAACTTCACCATTTTCTAATAATCTTCTCTTGTCTCTGATAGCTTCCAAGGAAGCAGCCAGTTTATGATTACCAAAAGCATCTATATTTTCATAATCATGTTTGGTTTTTATTGGAACCTTTGACGTGACAAGTTTAGCACTGATTGGTGATTGGAAGTTGAGAAGTTGCCCCACACCTACACTGGTTTCTTTCAGGTGACTGAGATAATCACGCATGCGCTTTGTTTCTTCCTCGGAAAGGGCGTGGCATAGGGTAGGATCAATGTCATGGATGGGCATTTGCTTCTGAAGAAGCTGTTTACGCTCACGGGCAGCGGTGGATCCTTTGATGGGCAATTGATCAGCGGGTAAATCTTTTAAGTAACGCTCAACGGCTTCTTTTGAGCCTTTTGGGGTCCAATCCAGTTCTAATTCATTTGGTCCGGATAAACCTGAAGAATAAAATGGGAAAAATCAATTTTATTTGAAGGAAAATGATAAGTTTTTAACACCTACGTATTTTATGTGTTTTCTTTGGTCCTTTACTGCCGAGTAATTGGAATTGTAGCCAATCAGCAACGTCGTTGTCATTGACCCCATGGTTTTCTTTCCCACATTTGCAGATTTTGCAAATTTTACGCCAGAAATGTAAATCCAATCCTGTAAAACATTTCATATCATGTTATTGTATATAAATAGTTATCTATTATCTTATCTCATGTTTACTTAAGTTAAGTCATGGGAAATGTAGTGTAGTCTCTGTATTACGATTAAATCTCGTTATACCGAGGTGATGTTTCATCGAGGAACAAAAAATAACGAAATTTTGGGTTTTTTCGCGGTCTAATCTTTTGTAAGCTAGATATAAACTCAAAACTACCAAAAAAACTGTACTTAAGTAATATAAATTTGTATAAACGTGTCTGGGGTTGTTAGAATCATAATTACAACAATATTTCAAATATTACCATCAATGTGGTAAGTTAAGCTAAAGTTGACTTAAGTTAAGTCCAGAAATGCAGTGAAGTCTCTGTATAACTATTAAATCACGTTTTATCGAGGTGATGTTCCATTGAGGAAGAAAAACTAAGCAAAAATTGAGATTTTGCGCGGTTCCGCATCATTCTAATCGTTTCTAAGCAAGAAATTAGCCGAAAAATCGCGCTTAAGTCATATAAATCCGCATAAAAATTTATAGGGATGTTGGGATCATAATTACAAATGTTTCCATCAATGTCATGTCTTTAAAAAAGATATTCGCGGTCATAAATGCTCGAAATGAAATTTTTTGTAGTTACACTGAATATTATCTTATCTCGTGGTAAGTTAAGCTTAAGTTGACTTAAATTAAGTCAAGAAATGCAGTGTAGACTCTGTTTAACTATTAAATCACGTTTTTTCGAGGTGATGTTCCATTGAGGAAGAAAAACTAAACAAAAATTGAGATTTTACGCGAATCATCATCTTTCTAATGGATCTAAGCAACAAAACTGCAGAAAAATCATACTTAAGTCATATAAATCCGCATAAAAATTTATAGGGATGTTGGGATCATAATTACAATAAAATTTCAAATGTTTCCATCAATTTTGAAAAAGATAATTGCTTGAAATGAAAATATTTTTCATCATTACTTATTATTATCTTATCTCGCGGTAAGTAAAGCTGACTTAAGTTAAGTCTCGGGGGGAATAAAATATGATGAATGATGTGAGGTCATTATACCTGGACATTTCTCCTTGCATTCCAGACAGGGCGAGCCGGCGCCGGCTTCGTGACCCAGGCGCGCCTTCAACTTCAATTCACGCTTCTCTTCGAGTTCGCGCAGCCAGTTGGGCGCTGAGACCACTTCTTCACTCTTATTCATATTTAATAAACACTTTTACACTTGTACATCACTTTCAATAACTATTTCTTAATCACTTCCTTTGTGTGTTGATATTAATATCATCAACACATTGCACAATAATATAATTTATATTTCGTTTAGATAAAAATATAAATCTATGAGAATAGACTTATGTTAAGTAATGTTGATGTACTACTAGTACTACTAGTTGGACGCAGGTCAGTGGTCGATTCCAACTTGCACCTTCTTCTTCTTCTCTTGTGTGTTTCGCGCCGCCTCTTTTTGTACACCACACCAACTAGTTTCGAATCCACTTAAGTCACTTACTTAACGTACACTATTATTATTCCATATTCCAAACGAAACTTGTATTTCTTTTATTGAATTAAAAATTTATTAGACGTGCGATGCGTTCGAGGACTAGAACAAGACTGAATGCAGTGGCAGATGATGCGTTTCAAGTTTCAATGGAAGTTTCGAAACTCGGAAACGTCCTCTGAATCAGCACGATCAGCGATAGCAACACGTGCGTGTCTATGTGTGCGTTGAGGTATAGTGAGCTCAGCTCATTGAGTGAGGGTACCCACGTACTAGGAAATATATTGAGTTTTATTGGTTTGATAAGTATCGTCACTTGATTATTCAAAAATAAGGGGAAAATATGCGAATGGCGTCAATACGAATGCTTCATTGTATTTTAATATCCCAAGGGGTCTTAGGTCCGACCGCATCGACGACTACCTGCTTGCAAACAATGGCAAAGGTCGTACCGGATTTTGACCGACTAGCTTCTCGCCAAACTGCTCCGCACTTTGTCTGACTCATCGCTTCGTCTATCTCGTTTTAGCTCTCATCTGGAGTGATGCATAGAACAACACCAGCTGTATAAATATGAATCATCAATTATTTTGCTCGACGTGCGTCGGAAACAAGCGAGACCTCACGTCCCCGACGTTCGTCATCGCGCATGGAATATTTAAAAAAAAAGGAGCGATTGTGGCGGAAAACAATACTGCTTATAAAACAAAGCAGTCTAGAACGTTATGGAAGTTATTATTGTATTTCGCATTTATTTATCGCATAAAGTTTCTATTTTTAGAAACTTTAAATTTTAAATTAAAGGAAACTGTATTACAGTGAGGAGGGAGTGGTTGTAGTGGTACTAGCCGCGGATAGATGGCTATACCATGCACATTTATTGAAAAATCAATACTGAAATATAATTATACATTATTTATATTTATCCTGTAATGCAATTGTTGTTCATCACATCATTTGGACTTCATGGAAATGAAAGTATGTCCTAAAGTTAAAACTAATGGTGTAGCTAAAGATATCACCTTGATTTCGCATTTTTTGTAAAATATCTAAACATGTTTGAAGGTTAAACTATTTTTGGAGAACAATATTTTTATATCCTTCGTTTTCTTACCAGTTTCCTCTGTTTTAATGACATACCCTTTGAATCACCAACTTCTTTACTCCAAAATCTATCTAAATCAGCTTGTTATGTAATATACTTCCTTTTCCTGTCGATAAACTGCGTTATAAGCTTATGACGACCGATAATAATACAAATTATGTCAATAGTATGGCGCTGCACGTCATCTTGACTTGTTTTGCTCGTGCGATTTGTTCAACTACCTGCTGCCGATTGTGGTGCTGCCAGCTGCATGGCAGCCATTTTGTATTTGAATATTGCGCTCGCATGCCGACCCGACCGACCCCGAATCCCGAGTGCGCTCCGGATCGATGCGCGATTGCGTTGCTCTTCGCGACACGCACTGGGTGCATCCCGAATTCGTCAAGAAACGTCCGAAAGAAGACTGTTTACCAAAGTGTGTATACAACGTGAAAACAGACCTACCTAATAAACTTATTATCGGATATGTCGACTTGTTTGTTAGCTGAACAATATGACGACCACGGACTTGTTAAGTGTCTAGTGTGTGTGAATGTGAACAATATTCATATGGAGTAGTTTTTACCCAGTAAGTAAATTCAGATGATTCGCTCGATGTTAAACGCGATAGAATGAAGAGATGATTCTGTCGTACTGCGTTTTAATTCACTGGATGTGATTTTGATGTGTTTTCGGTCGTGTGAAATGTTTTTTTTACTATTCTTACGCCTGTGCACATGTTTCTTCGAATTGAAACGTATAATATCGCCCATATTACATGTGAAATGTTAGAAATGAAGTGGAAATGTAGAACGAAGCTGAGCTTGCGTTCCGGCTTCGATGTTAACCTGCATGCGCTCGGCGATAAACTGCACAAGGCGTTGTGGTTGGTTGGTGGGGATCGGGGGATTTGCAGTGCGACAGCGCGCAGCGTCAGTACGCGAACATCGCATAGGGCATAGAGCAATAGTCGCCTAGAGGGGTACCTTGTATTCTACAGCCTTGAACAAGCAAAGCGTCTGTGAGCAGCGCACAAAACGCGCGGAATTGACACACGAACCGCGCTGCACGCTACATTTCACGATACCAATACAATATACCCAGAGGATGTTGTGTTCTGTGGCTTGTTCTGCATTATCATCTCTTCATTCTTCGTGATTTAGTGATTTAGCCGTATTTTCAGTAGGTTTTCTGACGTTTTCAACTTACATGTTGACTTATAAAACAAAACAACTTGTTTTTCTAGAAGATTTGCAATAATGCAAGACACCGAGGAGATTGGACAGCGTCTTCAGAGACATCTGCCATTTCTACGGCAGATGCTCAACAGTCTCAACAGGGAATGCCCGCAATACATCAAAATCAACGCCATTTGCGATATCATCGATAAACGAAAAAAGTAATCACTAAAATCACTAAAAACCTTATAATTAACTTACGTAATTTATTTTTACTTTACAGTATTAAATATGTCACACTGGAGAAGTGTGAGAAGGTCATCGAGCTGCTCCAGAAGAAAACGGTAAGTGTTATTACTTAAGTTTAGGTTAGGTTTGTCTAGGTTAGAACTCCGAATGATTTTTGCATTCTCTACGAACAGAAACGAACCTCGCCCCCACCAATTGTCATTCCTGATGATAAATCAGCGGATAAAAAAGGTATTAAGTGTTTTGACACGCAAGCGCAGATATTTCAAAGCGTCAAGTCACACTTTGAGACTATAAATTCTCCGGAGTCACCCGTGTCGCCGTGTGATGAAATCGAATCCCCGGATGAAGGAGGAGATGATGTTACTACTGAACGGTATGAGAATGACCGACCCAGTATATATTCGGTGGTGGCGGATACTATTAACCCTTCGCCACCGCCAATACCACCTCCACTGCTTAACATCCCACCTCCGCCGATGGTTCCTGCCATTGATACTTCAAAACCACCCATTTCGGCCGAGGATCTGAAAGAGTTGCTGCTGGATGTGGATTTTACTGAAGAGGAGACTGAGTTGAAGAATAAGGTGGTTGATGCCAGTAAGGATTTGATCAAACAAACGCCTAAGTCTAAGGTAAGTCTAGTTCCTACGCCGTTTCATAAAAAAATTCGCAAAGCGGACACGAATGGTGATAAAATAAGCGCGAGTAAACCGGAAGTGAATAAGACTAATAAGGATAATAAAGATAAAGCGGATAAAAATAGTGTTAAGAGTAAAAGTGACATTAAATCGGGCAAAAGTGACAAAAACCCTAGTAAAGACTCTAAAAATAAGGACAATGTAAAAAAAGATAAGTCAAAGTCGTCGCGCTCAAAGTTAGTGGAAAAAGTGGTGGAATCCAGTTCAATTTTTGGTAGTTTATTGTCGAGTATAGATGAACAAATGATTGCGGATAAGGACAAAGAAAAGACCAAAGTGCGGCGCGATAGTAAAGATGGCGACCATGCCAAATGTGATAGTGCAAGCAGTAGTCTGAAGCATTCCAAAGATAAGGATAGTAAAGATGGCAAGGACAATAAAAATAAGCATAGTAGTAAGTCACTTATTGACAGATTGGCCAGCAAGATCAAAAACGCTGAAAAAGATATGGCGTCGGCGCTAAAAAAGGAAGGTTTAAGTGAAGCGGAGCAGGAAGCTATAAAGAAGAAGTACAACGAGAGGATCGCCAGGTACAAAAAGGAGAAGAGTGCAGCAAAACGACATTCATCTTCGAGTAGTTCGAAATCTGACAAGTCGAAGGAACGGCGAAAATCTGATGATAAGGAGAGGGATAAGAGTAAAAAGTGTGAAAAGGATAAACCTAAGGAGAAAAGTTCAAAGACTGAGAAATCTGGTACTGGTACTGAATCACTTCCGGAAGGAGACAAAACAGTGAAGAAAGATTCTGATGTTCCTTCACTTCCAGAAGAACTCAAAACAGTAAAAAAGGATTCTGAAGTTCCTGTAATTCCAGAAGAACCTAAAACAGTGAAAAAGAATTCTGAGGTTCTTTCACCTCCAGTGGAAAAGGTTACTGATCTTCCTGCACTTCCGGAAGGAAAGACTGAGAAATCTGGTACTACTTCACTTTCCGAAGGAGACAAAACAGTGAAGAAAGATTCTGATGTTCTTTCACCCCAAGGAGATCCCAGAACAGTGAAAAAGGATTCTGTTATTGCCTCTCTTCCCGAAGGATTCAAAATAAAAAAGAAGGTTCCTCCTACTATTACGACTACTGCTGCAACCGTTGTACCAACACCACCTGCAATATCATCCTTTATAAGGAAAAAGGTGGATAAGGTTGAGGATAAAACATCAACTGCAACAGTTACAACTCCTAGTAATAATACTAAACCTTTGGAACCACCTCCGTTACCATTAGGGTTTCAAGATTTCAACCCGTTTGCTAATGAAACTGCCGAGATAAATAGGTTGAATGCTTCGAGGAAGAAAGACGCGAATATTTTACGTAGTCCCCTGCATGAGGTAGGCAATGAACATGGTCCTCTTCCTCAAACTAGAGATGTTAGAGAATCTAGGGATTCAAGGTCTTGGCCTCAACCTCCAATGGCTTCTGGTAGTATGATGAGAGGTGATCCCTATGGTGAATCTTCGAATCGCTTTGCTCACCCGGGACACCAACCACCAGGTCCGAATTATTATCATCCATCGCGAGATCGTCAAGTGGCATATGATTCTTACGAGCCCAGACATTCTGGCCACATGCAATGGATTCCACCTGAACCTAGGAGATCACGATGGACACCTCCACCTCCAAATCCACACTGGGTACCTTCGCATAGAGGACCAGGACCAGGACCAGGACCTCGGCATTGTTCACAACCACCCAATGCTGGGTTTCATCCATTTGATCCGATTGGTAATGAATATGACTTAAGTATGATGTCTCCGGTGGATTTTTATTCTCCTGCTAGGAAGCAGTCTTCGGTACCACAGAATTATAGGCAATGGAGGCAGTTGAAGGAGAGGGATGAGCAGATGAAGAAGAAGATTGAAGAAGCAAATCATTCAACCATTCAAGACAAAGATAATAGCAATAACGGGAAGAAAAATGAAGAGGTTGTTAATTCAAAGGTTGAAGAAAAACCAGCAGAAGTTGAAGCGAAAAAGAACCTGAGGTTAAAAAGGATAAGGAGGAGCAAGAATCATCTACTGGGGTTAAAGATGATAAACCCGAAGATCCAATATCCACCGATAATAAAGTTGTAGATAAACCTGCAGATCCTATATCCACCGATGATAATAAAGTTACTGATGCAACTAAGGATGAAAAAGAGAAAGTTCCCGAAGAAGTTGTCCAACCTGTGAAGCCCGTTGAAGAGGATCCAGTTAAAAATGAATCTACCGAAGGACCCAGTGTAACTGTAGTAGATGAACCCGATTTGAATCTGAATGATGTAGATCGTAGTAGTTTGCTTAGGATTCTAAGTCAAGCCAAAAAGACGAAAGCTGCTGATGGTGGTACCTATCTTCCAGTGAGGATTCTGGACTTGATGGAGCGGTTTCTTCAAAAACATGAAGATAGTACCGGAAAAGAAGTTGCAGAATCTACTCCTTCCAATACTGCTACTTCTACAGAGGAAGGTGTTGAAATTAAGAAAGATGTTACAGAAACTAAATCTGAAAATACAACTGATGATGTACCAGATGATGTAAAAGAAAAATCAAATTCAGAAATTCTGGAAGCGACCAAAACTATAGTGGTATCTGAAGAAATGGATTCTACAACGATACCGGATGAAACTTCAGAAAATAAACCTGATTTGAAGAAGGATACGGATGATTTAGACACAGAAAATAAAGAAGATGAAGTTACCGATACAGATATAGAAAATTTGAAAAGGTTACTTATTGACAGGAACCAAGAAGTTACTGAGGAGGAAAGTACCATTGTTCGTAGACTCAGAAGACGTACCAAATCTATAAACTACAACGATTCCGAGGATTCTCCAAAAAGGAAACGAAGAACTGCTGCTGAAATGAAGGAAGCAAACGAAGCCAAAAATGCGGAAATTAAAACTGAAAATAAAACTGATGTTAAGAAAGTCAAAGAAAAAGAACAAAAACAAAAACCTGTTATTAATAAGAAGAAGAAAGGATCTAAGGAGGTACCAGCAGTGAAAGATGAAGCAGAAACTTCCAAACCATCAGTGGATGACTCCGAAGATAAATTGGACAACAATGCAGAAGATGCAGATGTGGATGTTGACAAGATAGACGTAGAATTAAGCAATTTAGACATCACAATCAATAACATTGTTGATGGTGTGGTCAATGTCGAACACAAATTATTGGAGGTGATGGAGAAACTATACATGGCAGAGCATCAAAGTATGGATTCCGACTCAGAAGACGATAATGAGTTTCTCATCAAAGTGGCAAAACGTAAAAGTGTCCCCGCTGGAATATTTGAATTCCAGGATGAATCATCTACAGAAGATTCAGAAAAACTCGACAAAGAGAAGAAGCGACCAAGAAAGTCCGAATTGGATATTCTCCATCAGGATATCAAGGAAAATCTAGGCGATGGTATCATGTCATCTCGACGAGGGAACTCATTAAGGCGCACATCAAGTCCAGAATCTGTACAGTCCAATACCAGCTTCAGCAGTAATTTGGATTTGAAGGATGTGAAGATTCCGCCTGCTGTTGATGAGTTGTTCAAAAAAGGGAAGACTTTGCGGGTTGTTTTGAAGAAGTTACCAGATACACACGATATTTGTGTCTCACCTTCTACTTATATGCCACCTCTAACACCACCTCCGTCAAGACCAAGATTATCCAGGGGATGCAAAACTCCTTTACCAATATTCGATGACGATAGTTTTGAAAAAGACTTAGAATCACCAACTGCTGAACCTGTGAGTGTTAATAATACTCTAAAACGATTGAGGCCGGCATCAACAGAACCAGTTTCGGAATCTAAGAAACTTAAACCAAATTCGGTTCCTGAGAAAGCAGTACCTGCTGAACCAGTCCTAGAAATCAAGAAGGTTAAACAAGATTTCATTCCTGATAAAAACTATTATCTTAAGCTGGAAAAACAGGAGACAAATGCCTGCCATCTATGTGACTTTATCGGAACTCCTATAATAGCACATTATCTTCACGAACATCCAGATTCCGAGGTGTTGATTTCGAGATTGTCACCAGATGCTACCCAGGATGCGTTTCAGGATTCTGTGCTTAATGATTACACCAACACGGATCTCTCCGCTATTACAGGCAAAAAGAACGCCAAGTACGATTTCCGATGTAGATTCTGTTCTAATGATCTACAGAAGGAGCTAACGTCAACTTTTTACGATCATGTTAGTAGTCATACTGGTGAACCGCGTTATCATTGCCCATTCTGTGATTTCAAACATCATGTTCGGGCGATTGTTAAGACCCACATTAGTTTTGAACATGCGAAGAATCAAGAACCACGTATTGATGAAGTACCCAAGAATATCGACAAACTTTTTGGTTTTTTTTGCTCGGAGTGTAATTTTCTACAACTCAGGAAGAAAGCTGTTTCCGAACATATTGAAATGTATCATGCTGAAGACAAAGCGTATGTGTACACGATTAATATGTCACTACCGATTCTGCAACGTACATTGCGCATGCGCAAAGATGTTGTACAAGATGAAGGCTTCCAAGCTGAGAGGAAATTAAGAAGTAGTCAACGTTTGAAGAAAACAGAAGTTGTAGAAAAATCTCCTGAAGTCCCCGAAAAGAAAGTCGAAGTATCTCCGAAAATTACCGAAGTTGAATTACAACCTGAAAAGTCTAAGTCTATTATCCCGAAAGTACCAAAGAAAACTGAGGATGTAGTCATGAGTGATGTGTCATCAAAATCTGAAGCACCTCCAAGTTCTGCATTTGTCTGTGCCGATTGGGATGAACTTCTGACACGTAGTGACGAATCTGAGAAAACTAAGAATAAAGTCACCACGACTCCAAAACGAAGCAGTAATATCGTAGATAAACTTAAAAATCGTCTGGAGAAACAGGAGAAATCCCCATCAGCGTATCAATCACCTCCAATTGATGTAGAATATAGATGTACATCAGAGATAATGGATGACACAGAAAACGATGCTGAAACCCCCGGGGATTTAATTGAAACCCTCAAAAAGGAGAAGGAATCACCCAAAAGGACTTCCCAATTACCGAGGAGACGTTTAAAGATCCTCGTTTATCAGAGGGAGCATCTAAATCCCTGAAAGAAATACCAAGATTATTAGTAAGTGTTGGTGTGATAGATGCTCTAGTTGATGATGATGATCTCATCACATATGTCTGTCGGAAAGCTTCGTGTATCTTCCGGACAACTGACAGTCGTGTCCATGAAGTCCACTGTAACTATACCCATGGTAATTGTATGGAGCGTATAGATTGCTCAATGTGTTCTATGTCTGATATCAACCTGTCTTTGTGTGAGTTGTTTGCGCATCTGTGCGACCACGTGGAGGGATATCTAGAATCTCGGGTGATTGCAAAACGAGCTAATATCAAAGTGGAGATTAATCATGATCATGATGATCTTGAACAAAACGTCGACGTGATTGAGGTTGAAGATGCTGATGATTCTCAACCATTTGAACCGGTGATTGAAGAGGAACAAGAAGAGTCTAATCCATTGGAGAAGTTCTTTGCGATTACAAGAGTTGAAAGTCTGGCTACTAAACTATCTGAACCCCCACCACTTGCACCACTTTCTAAGACTTTGAAGGTTAGCGAAGTGGATTCTACACCTAAACCAACCACACCTACAAAATCTCCTAGAGTATCACCTGATTGCGAAAAAGAAGAAGATGATACAGATAATAATAAAAACTTAGAAGAAGAAAAAGAAAAGGATAAAGTTGTTGATATAGAGAAGTCTCAGGATAAGGATGAATCTACACAGCAAATGGTCACGTGTAAAATTGTTCCAATGAATGAAGCTGAATTGAAGTTGGATAGAAAGTCACCTGCGGTCATCGAAAAGTGGTTGAACCATAAAATGGAATACCTGTTTAAATGTCCTGCCTATGACTGCGACGCGGCATTCCAAAGAGAGGGTTTCTTTGAACAACACCTGGATGCGCATGATTTCAAAGACACGTTGATACCTTGCTTGTATTGCAACTTCAAAATGCGCAAGGAGAATATTACAGTGCATGTTATGGTAAGTCTATTACTATTTGATCAATTTTTAGAGGTTATTTTTATTGGTTATGTTTAGATGCGGCACGCACATTGCCATTTTGGTTGTGGATATTGTTTGTATCGCGCACGGCAAGAGGGTTACGTCACGGTTCATAATGAGTTATGTCATCCTGAGCAGATACTCCAAGTGAAAAAGTTTGATATGACTGGGTTGTTGAATCGTTATCGTCCACCTATACTGCCACCTATCGAGAAAATCATCCAGCCATATTTATGTGGTATGTATTTTATGAATATTTTTTTTAAGTTTTTGGGTTTATTGATTGGTTATGGCTAACAGGTTGTGGACTTAAGTATTATGTGACTAAGAACTATGAGGCTCATCGTCAGAAGTGTAAAAAGCTGGAGAATTCGGATAAAGTCGAAGATCGTTTCCTTTATAACTGTCGGTATTGTGTTATGGGTGCGACAACATTCCTGGATGTATACCGACACATTGCGATTGAACATCCTTTCCATGATGATGCGATTCTTTACCGTCAGCTGCCCAGTGCTGTAAGTTCAAGATTCTTTTTTATTAAGGATTGTTTTGTAATTTATTTTTATGTTTAGCTTGTTTTGAATGTGGAGTACCCAGCCATCACCAACTGCCTTATGATCTTGAACAAGGCCAAAAAAGTGGTTTTTCCCAAGGCCCTTACTTCCACAACGGAGGCGACATCTACAGTTCCACAACCCAAATCGCAACTGGTGCCTATAAAGTTACTAAGTCACGGCAATGCAGGAACTGCTGTTTCTTCTACAGTTAAACCTATTACCCAGATTGTAGCTTCTAAACCTGCAGCTGTTGGTTTACTTGAGAAACCTGTACCAAGGATTATGCTGGTGCATCCCTCCGTTTTGGATAATATGAAGCAGACTAGTAAAGGTCTGACACCGACTGCTTCCTTGACTACTACAACACCTTCTCTGATAAATACAACACCTTTCCTGACTACAACCACAACTCCCTTGGCAACAACCCTGCCTTCTTTGATAACTACAATAGGTCCCCTCACTGTTACCACAGCTGCTTTGACTACTTCCTGGCAACTACTAATACTAAACCTACCTTGTTAAATGCAACACCTAAGGTATCAATATCAACAACATTCACGTCATCCACATCGGAATATCAATTTACTGACGACATAATCGTTAACCCAACTGATTTGTACAAATGCAGTAAATGTCTAGAAGTAATGCCGACACAGCTTAAGTTTGTGTTGCATGTAAGCGCCACAGATTCTCCGTGCGGAAGAAGACCATTTGTCTGCATGCACTGTGACAAGGAGTACAAACTATCGGGCTCCTTTATACAACACGTCCGTGAACATGGGTATAAGAGTAAGAACCTCCTTTGTGCTCTGTGCACCCATACTGAATTTAAATTCATCGCGCTTAAAAACATATGCGAGAAGTGCACAAACTGAACAACATTGTGCTCATCCCGCAGAATCCGGAAAAGACCGACCCTAATCTGGATTACTTTATTGGTAAGCCCATTCGAACTTCACCAAAGGAGGTAACGTTAGATACACTGAAGAAAATTGCTTCCGTGGTGGAGGACGATGATAATACCTTGTTTGGTCCTGATGATTTGGATTCATTGCCTACGCAACCCATTTTTAAATTTATGGCGACTTGTAAGCTATGTGAATTTGGCACTAAAGTAAGGAGTAATTTTCTACGTCACATGCAACTGCATTGTAGTGGTAAACTGGATTCAAACCACCGAGTGGGTGAAGCTGTTAATCCAGTTCCATGTCTGGAGAAAAACGAGTTGATGTTTGATAAAATGACGAATTTAGCTGCGAGTAGTTTTGAAGGTCGAATGAATGCGAAAAGTGCTTCTGCGTCAACTTCTACAACAGACAACAAAAGTAAATCTACAGAATTAGAATTGGAGATGAAGGTACCACAGTTTATCCCGGATCATCAGCGGTATGTCTGTGGTGCGACCGGATGTAATTATTTATGCCTCGAGGAACAGAATTTACGCCATCATCTACAAGCTCTCCACGATATTGAACAGACATATACATGTATACACTGCAAACAAGAGCTCAATTCCACCCGAGATGGTAAACCCACATTTATTGATATAGATGCAATCGTGAGTCACTTAAGATTACATGAACCCACTCTGTATAAATGTCAGCATTGTGAGTATTTGAACTGTAAAACATCTCAGATTGTTTCACACTGCATTGAGAAACATGTTGACATGCCTGTAAAGTATCTTACCATCAGACATGGCGCTGATGTCGAGACACCTTCCAAGGACGAGAAAACACCAAAGAAACACCCGTGGAAGTGTGGTATTTGTGCGTCTAGGAAACCAACCGAAGGGGAGATAAAATCTCACGTGTTCTTTAAACATGCACTTGCGGCACAGTTTAAGTGCACTTATTGTGCATTCAAAGCTGATAACAAAGCTGTGTTTGCTCCACATTATGCTGAACATCATCCGATGTTCAAGACCTCTCCGGATATCATTGTCGCGTATTATTTCGATGACAAGGAAGAAACTGAAGAGAAGCAGCCGGATGTGGCTAGTTTTGATACGACGCCATTGTGGGTTAAGAATAGGGATTCTGTGAAGCATATCCGCGGGATATTATTGGACCAAGGGGCCTGGCATGCGAAGAGAACAATGAAGGCTCAATTAAAGGCGGCTGTGAAAAGTGTAACGCCTGTGAAGCGGAGAATGTCTACGAAGGGTTCAGAACAACCTGCTAAAATACAAAGTAAGTGATTAAACTTAAAATTTTTGAAGGTTTTGACTAATTTTGTTTGTTTTAGAAACATCAGTTCCAAAAGAAGAGATTTGTGTTGTTCTGAATGGTAAAACAGAACCGCCGATACAAAATGCGGAATCATTGGATCCATCTGAGATTACCGCCATAATTGAAATTGCTGATGATGATGATGATGATGATGACAAAACACCTGAACCAAATGAACAAAAAGATTCAGCTGATCCCCCTATGAAAGACTTGCGAAAAATCCCAATTGATAAGCTCATTGCCACCGACTACATCTCCACGTATGGGCCGCTTGGTAAACCCGATAAATCCAAATTTGCGTGTCCGTTGTGCACCGCATTGTATCCCTACAACAAACATGCATTCAAACACCATCTCTATGAAGAATTGCAGTACAATCGGTTTCAATGCATGCTCTGCAACCAGCAAACTACAACTTATGGCAAAATGATCGAGCATTATGCGGCGAAGCATCTGAAACTCTGTGAAATTGATTCCATCGCGAAATTGAGTAAGAATAACACTATTGAAACGTGGGTAGCGAAGGTCGTTTTGGTTCAAAGTCGGATTATTCTACATAATCGAGCGATGTAAGTATAATAGTGTTATATATACTTGTTAAACTTTTATTAATCGTGAACGTTGAATTGCTTACAGGAGAGTGAATCAGAAAAAAATTCCGCCGTCGAATAAAACGCCCCAACCGAAAAGCATCGAAACGAATAAAATGTATGCATGCATGCATTGCAAGCATGAAACCTACACGACGACGGAAGCCGTAGCGCATTGCAGGGCCGCACATTCTGGTCTTGCAGTACGAGTTTATCAGCGAAAGTGAAAAAGTACTCCAGTGTAAATAGTGTATAGATATTTTTATGATTAGATTCCTACGTTCAATTTCGACGCAAAATGTTTCTTTTTTCGTTTATTTTTGTACTGTTATTATAATGCACATTATTTCTGACGGGACGTTGTTGTTGAGTTTCCTTTACGTTCAAAATTGGTTATGTGTCCAGTGTTGAAACTAGATATAACCTTAAACTGTATAAGTTAATAAATATTGACTGTTACGCCATGTTGAAGAAGAAGTGATGAAAATTAAACATGTTTTTTTAGATCATTCGATATTATTGAGTTTAATAATAACTATTTTATCAATTTAAAGATATAGATATCATATATTTGATACACAATAAATAATAGAACATAGAAAATGAACTTCGAAACGTGCAATACCTTAATTTAAGGTGACGCAAATTGCTGGCGTGTTTTTATAATATACAAATTAAAAAATATACAATTTAACGTCAACAAAACCAATAAAAGTGTGCATAGAGTAATTAGACTTATCTGCAGACTATCGTATTCTTTTTGAGTCAATACTAAATCATCGACTTTTATCCTCCGCGTGGTCTGATTGCAATTATGATTGTTTGCTGTTTTTATCTCGATTTTGTTGTGATTGGCACAGTTGAACAAAGCTTTACGTCCATTGTCATCCGTGTAAACAATATGGAATGTTCTCCTGGAGTTTAGATTACATATTTCTTCAAATTCTAAGTTATTCTCATCTTTAATAATAATGGATCCGCTTAGGTCTAATTTCTTTAGACCTGGTGCATCTAATTTTAATGTTTTCAATAAAACACCTTCCAATACAAGTTCTTCTAAGTTTTTGAAGAAATATCAACATTTCTTAGTTTTCCATTGTAGGATAAATTTAAACTTAGAAGTGGTGCATCCACTAATTGTAAATGAATGTTTTCCAACAAATTATGCGCCATGTTGATTCTTAAAACTTGCGGAAACAGTCCAATGAAGTTTTCACTCACTTCACTAAACATATTTTCAGACACATCCAGAGAAGTCACTGCGTTTCCTCTTGCTCGGTATTCATGTTTCCCCAAAGTGTTGTTTCGAAGATTCAACACTTTCAAATTTGGAAACAGGTCGAACACGTCCGCGTCCACTGATATAAGCATATTGTGATTGATATTAATATTATTTATAGATGAATATTGCTCTGGTGTAAGGTGTAACTGCTCGATTTCACTCACATCCAGATTAAAGTCAAAGTAGTCAAACGCTTCACGATGGTTTAATTGAAGTGTGCTTGAAATGGTTTTGCAGGAAACTTGATTAAACCCATGCAGAAACGTTACCACTATGAGGATTGTAGTTATATACATTGTTTTTTATACTGAAATGTAAATAAGTACAAATGTAGTGTTGAAAATAGGTTAGATATGTATGAATTTAACGTACCTCTAAACTGAGTTGCGAAAGATGCGTTTGTGCGACTTATCACTTGCAAATATTGAAGTTTACTGATATTTGCAGGGGGAATAATAATTGTTGATTAGAAGTGTCTAATCTTATCGCGTTATCAATGGTAAAACCGTTTTTCCTCACGTAGGATACTCTTTATCAATTTTAGTGTGGGATGGAGTTATATCCGGCTCGCCATGAATAATTTTTACAATGCATTGTTTAAATATTATATATTACACATTAATGTGTGAAATTCTGCGAGGGGCATTAAATGTCATATAGAGATAAGAAATGTTTACAAATTATACATTAAACTAATTTTATAATGCGTGAATTTCATTGAACTGAACTTAAATCGAAAAACACACACGAAAAATCTTTATTTTTGCTTGTATATAAAGTTTCTTTATCTAATCTAGTTCAAAACGTCGCTTTTTCTGAAATTCGTGTTTTCGTCATTTGATTTGAAATTTTATTAAGAATTTTTAGAAAACCAATGAAAAACAATAATAAAAACAAAGTTTTTAAAAAATATTTCAAAAACTATTTGCGAACAGATCTTCAAAGAGCGGGAAATTTTTAGGAAATCTAGAGAAATAATTCATGTAGAAAATAACAATTTGGAGCATTTGTTTCAGTTTAGAGGAAATAATCAATGATGAGGTAAAGAAGGGCAAAATGGTTCCTTTAAAAATAATTTTAAAAAGAAAAAAATTAATTGAAGTCAACGTTTAGAATTTATTCTTGTTTATCATGTAATATTACACCAAATTATTCCTGGGTAAGGGAGTAAGGTGTGTTAATGTAACGTTCCGGTTCTGACTCGCGGATCGCAGCACCCGAATCTCTCACAATGCGGATAGCGCCAGTATTGTCAATGCATTCTAATAAAAATATAGGTTTTAAATATATTGATTAATGAATTTTTCAATCGTGTTTCTTACCAATTGGTTGTGAAGCTGGAGTTTCCGGCTGTGCTGGTGGAGCCGGTGGAGTCGGTGGAGTGCAAACACACTTATGGCCCTGTTCATTAGTGAACTCGTAGGGACTGGGTGCACTTAAAGCTAAAGTACTCTTGCGATAACCATTATAGCCACGAAGACCATGTGGCCAACCAATGTCAATGCTTCCGCCGAAGTACCCTTCGGAAAGGGCAACCATGGCGACGACTACAGCAAGAATAGCGAACTTCATTGTTGTTGGTAGAGTTGTTGTTGTTGTTGTTGTTGAATGCAAACAAAACTGTGATGCTTATTGCCAATTTTGTTGGGTATTTATACCCAAAAGGAGCAATATTTTGCGTTTTATTGGTAAAATTTAAGTTTTTATAACAATAAAATCGATTAAAGCATGCTGGTTTTCGGAGAAAGTAATAAAAAAAATAATAAAAAGCATATTATGCATTAAATATCAGAATTATATTTAAATTCACGAGTTTATTTTAATTAATTTTACTTAATTTTATAAGTTGTAACACTAAAATGAGGAAATAAATATATAACTTTTTAATCTAGTAACTATAATTTTTTTCACTTAAACCACACTTATCAAAGATAAACTTTACTTACGTATTAAAGCATACCATCAACACCCGACAAAATTATGAGATTGTGGAAAGGCTGTTAATTTGAGTTGGTAACAGCACATGTCGTATTTTTCAAAACAATAGTTTTCGGCGCGTTTATTGTTTCACGGTTAAAAAAATATTAAACACTAGTAACTACCGTAAAATTCAGATTTACAAAAAAGAGTATTGATATGGGCGTTGAAAATTATTAAAAATCACGTTTTAATAAAATATATTGAATAAAATAAATAAATATTATATTTTTTAGATACTGGTACTCCCAGTGAAGCAATTAAAAAATAGCAATTCACACTGATTTTGTATTTCTTCATTTTTAATATTTTTAGATTCAATTATTTTGAAATTTACGTTTCATTTGAACAAAAGATTAGAAAGATATACGAGCTGCTGAGTAGGATACTGCTAATACGAGTACATACCATCCCTACTAATATTATAAATGCAAAAGTCCTGATGTTTGTTACACTTTCACGCAAAAACTGCTTAACCGTTCATCATGATAATTTGTACACATATTCTTAGTGGTCCTCGAATGGTTATAGGCTACTTTTTATTTATTTTATTTTTGGATTTTTAGCGTGTTATGTTTCAGAATAATAATATTCAGCGTACAGTAAGTGTTTACTTAACTTTACTCAGCTAATATTCAGAAGTTAAAAACTCTAAGACGAGACACTAAAGTTATGTATTTTGTATTTAAAAAGGCCATTGTTATATGAGTTTACAAAATTTAGTGAAAATCATACAAGGTATGCAAGAAAATAAATCAAAATTCAAAGTAAATTTGATTTTAGGACGAATTACAAGTATTGTGCATATATATTGGACGCCATTTTCATTGACATGGCCGTATTCTTAACAATAGTATTACTAGCTTTAACCCGCGGCTTCGCTCGCGAATATCTAAAATAATGAAGTTGCTTCCGTACGCGTTTGTAGTCACAGAAGAAGTAACAATGAAGTAGAATGGTGGGAAGTTTAAAATGGCTGAAAGTATAGTCTATGAAAGTATAGTGTACAGTCTCCCTAGTGTAGTCAATTGGATTTGATGTTGACGTAGCTGTAGGTAATACAGTGTGATAATACAGTGTGATGGTACTATAGTACTTAGGTTTGAGCTTCATTGCTGGAATGCTAGATGGCGTTAAAGTAGTCAAATAGCCAGATGCGGAGGTATTATTGGCTAAACAATTTCTTTATTTTATTTAAAAAATCATTTTTTTATTCAATAAAACGTAGCCTATAACCATTCGGGGACCACTAAGAATATGTGTACAAATTTTCATGATGATCGTTTAAGTTGTTTTTGCGTGAAAGTGTAACAAACATCAGGACTTTCGCATTTATAATATTAGTAGGGATGGTATGTACTCGTATTTGCAGTATCCTACTCAGCAGGTCGTATAATCTTTCAAATTTTTTTTTTCAAATGAAACGTAAATTTCGAAAAAAAATTGAATCTAAAAATATTAAAAATGAAGAAATACAAAATCAGTGTGAATTGCTAATTTTTTTTATTGCTTCACTGGGAGTACCAGTATCTAAAAAATATAATATATATTTATTTTATTCAATCTATTTTTATTAAAACGTGTTTTTTAATAATTTTCAACGCCCATATCAATACTCTTTTTTTTTTAATCTGAATTTTACGGTAGGTACTAGTGTTTAATATTTTTTTAACCGTGAAACAATAAACGCGCCGAAAACTATTGTTTTGAAAAATACGACATGTGCTGTTACCAACTCAAATTAACAGCCTTTCCGCAATCTCATAATTTTGTCGGGTGTTGATGGTATGCTTTAATACGTAAGTAAAGTTTATCTTTGATAAGTGTGGTTTAAGTGAAAAAAATTATAGTTACTAGATTAAAAAGTTATATATTTATTTCCTCATTTTAGTGTTACAACTTGATAACTTGACATAAATTATTTTCAGTTCAAGCAAGAGAATGATGCTTATCTACTAAACCTAACCAATTCTAACCTATTTATGTCCAAATTTTATTAATTCTTAAGCTTTTAAAGGGAAGAATGAAATATTTTTATTCTACAATATGTACCTAAGTTTTTTTTTATCAATTTACATTTGTTTACTTCGTTGTTGATGTAAGGAACGTTTGACAAGATTATCATCATCGATGTCATCACAAGATCATAAGATATTTCAATAAAAACCAAACAAAAATATGTCAAAACATCCGAATTTCAAACATTCCATATAATGATATATTACTTTGCATAAAACTGAATGCTTTTCGATAATGATAAGTAAATATTTTATAAATATTTTTTATAACCTCTTTGTGTTCAGCTCGATAAATTTACATTGAATGATACCTACACAATAATTCTGTATAATTTCCAAGCGTGAAACGTGAAACGGCTTTAATAGCCCTATAAATACAAAACCCCTTGCGACTAAACTTCATATTCCGCCAAAAATCTGTGGACAAAATGAAGTTTGCCATTTTGTTCGTAATGGTCGCTATATTTACCTTCTGCGAGGGTTACACCACTCGTCACACGATATTACCCGCTTTTCGCTACAATGTTCCTTTGAATATTTACGACATAATTAATACTAATGGGCACAAGTGTGTTTGTATTCCACCACCAGAAGACACTCGTAAATATTTTCATAGAAATAGATATGTTAGTTTTATTATGTTCTAATTATTTTAAATTTATTTTTAGGTTGTTTAAATTTGGATAGCGTTCGGAGGCGAATGAAGAGACATATGTAATTTGTGTGATTACTAATGAATATGGTCTATAATTATTCATCTTCTTATTCATCTTCGGTTATAACGAATAACCGTCATTCTGCTATCGTGGCCATGACCGTGATTTTGCGTGCCTGATGTTTTAGGTCTTTTTATATAGACTACTCAAGATCAAAAAATCAAAAAATAGAGTTTATTGTCGTGAAGTGGAAATTTTATTGGTGGATCCACCTGCAGCCGTCGTATAAATCTTTAATTGCGTTGATTAGATTGTGGACAAAGGCTTCTTGTATTACGCTGAATACTACTTTCTGCAGTGGTAGCATTTTGCAGCTGCTTCTCCATTAGTTGTGTTAACGTATATATTTTTAAATATTTTTACACTTATTTCTCTCAAAAACTTTCTTCATTATATTCATATAATTTTGATTTTAAATCAAAAAACGGACCATAATAAAATTTAAAACAATGCAATCGATAAAATAAATCGTATAATATTTTTTGGAAATTCAGAACAGTGCTTCACTGTAATATTGGAAATTATTTTTTTACTAGCTTTAACCCGCGGCTTCCCTCGCGTATATCTAAAATAATGAAGTTGCTTCCGTACGCGTCTGTAGTCACAGAAGAAGTAACAATGAAGTAGAATGGCGGGAAGTTTAAAATGGCTGAAAGTATAGTCTATGGAAGTATAGTGTACAGTCCCCATAGTGTAGTCAATTGGATTTGATGTTGACGTAGATGTCGGTAATACAGTGTGATAATACAGTGTAATGGTACTATAGTACATACTTAGGTTTGAGCTTCATTGCTGGAATGCTAGATGGCGCTAAAGTAGTCAAATAGCCAGATGCGGAGGTATTATTGGCTAAACAATTTCTTTATTGACATGATAACGTCTTTAAAATCGTTTTATTGGGTTACTGTTCAGAAACTGTGTCACGAGCGAGGTCGATCGCAGGTATACCCCCCTCTCGTTATAACGAGAGAGAGACGGACCGATCTCCCGTCTCATCTCGAGCGCTGCCAGTCATTCCGTGAAACTTGTCACGCGGAATCCACACGAGCGGAGGCAGTCATAGCGTTCGAGTGAGTTGACCGATCTTCCGTCTCTCTCACTCTAGCGGCATACAAACGAATGGAGATTTTCTCGTGCGGTTAAGTTTTCGTTGAATGTTTAACAGTAAAACAAAATGTGAAGTGCGAGTGAAGTGTTACAACAATTGCAACAAACAAAACTTATATCACCAATAAGACGTTATCACGTAAACATCTCGATCGTAAACCTACTTTACAAACAACCATTTTTTTATTTTTTATTTAAAAAATAATTTTTTTATTGAATAAAAAGTAGCCTATAACCATTCGGGGACCACTAAGAATATGTGTACAAATTTTCATGATGATCTGTTAAGTAGTTTTTGCGTGAAAGTGTAACAAACATCAGGACTTTCGCATTTATAATATTAGTAGGGATTAATACTAAAAAAAATGCATTCGCTCCGAGAAAGTGCGCAGACACTAAAAACTATTTTTGATTTTTTTGATATAATCTTTACTTTTGGGATTTAAATTTTGACACCATACGTACTCGTAGTCACACACCTACATATGGTGTCAAAGATATGAGTAATTTGTTTGACATTTTTTTAATAAAAACAATAAATTTCTCTTAAATTTATTAAAAATTCACGCTCATTTTGCACCAGATATAACTGTCAACATAACAAGTTATTTTTGCACCCACATAATCAGGATTAAATAAATAAAATTTATCCCACGCATAATGTTTTTGTCTATAAGTAGCATGTAGTCTCGTTTTGGCAATCCAGGTTTTGATAAACGTGCTACATCATGAAATTCATCTTACTTGTCGGGGTGATTGCAATTATCTCCAGCTCTCAAGGATATATCCATGGTAGTTTTGGTGGTTCTGGGTCTTATGATTTCATCAATGATAGTGGCGACCGATGCGAGTGTGTTACATCTGCACCAATTAATCGTAAGTGGTTTAAATGTTATTTTTATTTAATACATAAATATTGTTTTTTTAATTATCAATTTTTTAGCATGTGGTGATCGTGATGGACCTCGAGAAGTTGAATATGAAGTGATTACTCCTCCCAATCGTAAGTGAAATAATTAATAATCAAAATTGTATTATTAAGTTGATTAAATTTATGATTTTCTTCTTTGCTGTAGGGTATGTTGATAATAATGATTATCGAGTGGAAAGATATTGATCGGAATAAGGAGAATTGAATATTTGAACTTATGGCATATTTTTACGAATAAATGATGCATATTTGGAGCATAAAATCGTTTTTAAGGGAACCTAAAAAACCGCTGTTTTTATTAAAATAAAATATTAAATAGAAAATATTCAGTGTTATAAATAAAAGAAAAATAATGTATTATTATGTGTCATATTCATGTACCTAAAAGTTTAACCAAAAAGAAATTAAACGGATTTTTTTTAAATTCATTGTTTTGGAATTTCTTGTAGGATTTGGTTTTAAATTATGAAGCATTAAAAAAGTGTAAAAAAAGTTTTCGTTGATATTTTGAGTTCTAGTTGAATTTTTACTTTGTTTTTGATCGTTTCTGAAGAAATTAAGGAACTTGCGAGATTTTATAAATTTTATTAATAAAAAATCCGTGATTCATATGAGATCTTTTTATATTTAAGATGGCCGGAAAACTATTTATTTTCAAAATCTCTTTGCCTACTATTTCTATTCTCAAAAATGTCTGTAATTACCCACCTATTAAAATTTTGGTAATTTAAAAAAAAGTATTTTAAAGTTATTTTTTCAGCAAGAGTTTTAAAATATGAAATTAATCAAATTTATTTTAAAATTTTCCTTAAAATGTTCATTAAATCCGTTTCTAATAATAATTCTTCTAATAACAATTACAAAAATTACAAAACGAATTGCCAATTTTTTTAAGACAGTACATTTTGCTAAAATTATTACAAAATATACCAAAGTTCTTATTTTAAAATGGTTCATCATCCCATATTTCAAAATGCAAAAATTAATCTATTTTAACTTACTTTTTAATTTTTGAAGTTTTTTTATCAATTATTGCTGTATCAACTGAACAAAACCACCACTATCCACCATTATATCACAATGGATGCACATTCACATTTTGCAACGTTCAAAAAATTATAAAAACAACAATAACTGAATAACGTTGAAGATATCAGGATATAATTAAAAAATTTTCACGTTACGATATTATTATAATTCAATATATACAATTAAAAAACGCCTACGCTCATAACTTAAGGCACTAAATCATCCTCCACCCCTGCAATTTTTTCCGTATAAATACAGTAACACTGAAACCATTTTCGATAGTTTTGCCAAAAACCAACTGCAACAACATCAACTATCAACATGAAGTTTGCAATTCTTGCTATGGTCTTCGCCATGATCGCCATAACCCAGAGCTACTTCATTGCTGGTTTTAATATAGGTCGCCCAGTTTACGCTTATCCTGGCTATTACTATCGCAAAACCGGCACTGCTGCAGCCACCTACGACTACACCAATGATATTGGCGACCAATGTGTTTGTTCTCCTGCAGTACCATCAAATGGTAACGTAGACATTATATTATATTTGTTATAATTTAGTAATTTGAATTTTTTTATTCAGGATGTTGAAATCTTTAGAAAGGATAACTTAGCCCATTTGGAATATTGATTAATTTATGATAAAAAATAATAAATGAAAATTTTAAATGTTGTACCAGTTTAGCGTTATAAATAAATTTTAAATTGAACAAACTTATCCATCAAGACTAAAATTTAATTTAATAATAGTCTGAATTATTGATAATTTATTTTTTCTACTTCCACCTGAATGAAGTGATTTTTATACACAAAAAGTGATACTTTATGTACGAACGGCCAAAGCCGTGAATAAAGTACTTTACTCATTACAAGTATGCATTTTTAGTAGGTATTTTAATACGTTTTCGAAGGGTTAATAAGACGTCATAATAGAAAATAAGCAATTGTGCAGTCGGTACAGGAGATACAGGGTGTTTCTTGGACAAAGTTTATATAAATCGAATATCAATTTTAGGTGGGCATTTCAAAATACCTATTTACTCATTTATTACAAGATGTAAAATAAGTTTTAATTATTTGAACTAAATTAATTATTGCTTATAATATAAAATATATCTTTTACATCCAGAGAAAGTAAGCTACTGTTAAACAATTGAATATTATTGAAACTAACGCCATTGCAGCGACACTATAAAAACTAATTTGTAATTTAGTATAATCATCCTTTGACAGAACCACGTCATCAAAACCTATCTTCAAGGTGGTTAAATCACAATTGTCAATAGTTTTAGGTATTACCTTGATTGTTTCTTCAGGTTCTTCTGTTTGTATATTTTCATCATAATCCACTGTTTCGGGAAGAATCCATTCAGTTACCTCAACTTCTTCGTTTCTTCTTTTTCGTCTTCCTCATCATAATCATAATCACCATCTTCTTCTTTTCTACTTCTCCCTTTTTGCCTTCTTCTTTTTTTTCCTCTCCTGCTGTGGTCTCACCAGATGTATCCTTATGAATATTTTTGCACTCAAAGTAAGTCCTCTTTTTATTCTCATCTAAATAATGAATCCTACACACTGGAATATTATTTTTCGTACAAATCTGGTCCAGAGTGGCATCACTGAGACTAGATCCTCGAAAGTCTATCTCATGCAGGTTTGGTGCATTTAAAAACAAGTTATCTAAATGAACACCTTGCAACACAATATTCTTCAAATTCCTTGATGAAATATCCACATGTTTCAAAAAGAAATTCTTCGAGAAATCCAAATGATCCAGTGGTGCCTTGTCCAAACGCAAACGAACTGATTGCAACCAGTTATTCCCCATATTCAGTCTTAACAATTTCGGAAACGGATTAATAAAATCTTCATTGATAACTTTAAATACGTTTGATGTAAGATCCAGATGCGTCAAAGCCTTTGCACGTGCGTTAAATTTCTCCAACAAGTTGTCACGTAGACTTAAAACAGTTAAATTAGGAAACGATTCAAATGCATTCGAAAAGATTTTATTCAGACTGTTGTCATCTAAATTGACACTCCATATTTCTTCGCGTTCCTTTATAGACATATCTAGTTTATCAAAATATTTTGCATCTAAATGAAATTCCAATCTTATTTTTCCTTTAAGATCAAGAGTATGTAATGGAGATGAAGAAGACAAGTGAATGCAGCATGATAAGAATATCATGAAGAGCCATATTGTTCTAGAATACATTGTTAAATAATTGCACCTGAAACAAAAAATAAAGTAGCAGGCAGTGTAGTATAAAGATTATGTTGCACTCACCGTTTTGCACTTGCCAATATCAGTATACAAATAAAAATAAAAATATCTTCTCTGAAAATTGATTATATGTGATTCACGTGAATGAGATAAAGATATTTGCTTTTTTAATCAATTAATTACGTTAAAATGTTATCAAATAAAAAGTTTCATTCCTTTTGAACACTTAAACAAAAAATTATTGAAAATCAAAGTTAATACTTGGTTTCTCTTATCCACAGCGCCACCAATGATTGAATAATTAAACTATAACTAATATCAAATCATATTTCAATTTTCATCCTTTAATTTAACATCTTTTAAACACTTATTTCTAACATTTTAATACGTATTATCCTTTTATTGACAAAGACAAATCCAAAAACACAAAAATCATAAAAATTGATCCAACCGTTCTTGAGTTATAAATGGTGTAACTAACACGACTTTGTTTTGTATATATACAAGTATAGATAGAATAAAAAATTTAGAAATTTGTTACATTTTCATTTTATTTGGGACTAGTTAACATCTGTCACATTTATACATTTATACACTCATGATAAAATTAATACCACATTGATTGATCTTAACCTAACATTACATACTACAACTAACCTAACCTAATTTAACATAACATTAGTAATATATCACATTGAATCAGTCCATCATTACAGTTTGAAGTACATACATTAAAATATCCATCTATGTCTCAAATTGTTTAATAGGTTAGTATGTTCGCTTTGGCAAGTACCATCAAATATAAATGTCATGTGTTTTTTTTTGGTTAAGAAGGATAATCTAGGTTAACTTTAATCTTCAGTTGATATCTGCGTGCTGGCACTGCTAAAAGACCCTCGGGCATCTAGACATCCATCGGGGACATTGATAAAGCTGCATTTTTTATAACTCCCCCAGTTTTTACTGCAGACCCTCTTCAGGATACTCTTGGAACTATCTTTAGCATCTTTGAAATCCTTAAAGTTGAATTCCTCATTGGTTTCTAAGTTATCCAATCGTTGGATATGATCCAGTCTGTCCGTACCATTCGCAAGAAAGGGTTCAATCTGTACGGCATCAGGATGTTTATTTAAAGTGGTTTCAATGTCCTGAATGACAATCTGTGGACGTGACTGTCTTCTATTAACAGGATATTCTCCATGGGAAGACTTCAAAGTCAGAAATTTTTTCAGTTCTCTTTGAACTCTTCGATTCCGCAAAGCGAATAGTATAGGTGACCATAAATTAGAAGAAATCAATAGAATGATAGCAATTCTATTCGGTATGAAGAAGTCATCAGAGGATGAAATACTGCTTAAGAGGTACATCACGCCATAGGGTGCGTAACAAGCCAGGACCATGACGATGACAATGATACTAATCTTCGCAGTTCGATTTTCCTCACGATAACGAAACGCTGAAGCATTACTAATCTTAGTCTTCAAAGAAGTAAGGATATTGGGTATTCTATCACTGTGGGTCCTTTCAACTTTAGCGATTTTCGTCAAATCAGAACAGATTTCCTTCGGGGTAGATACTAAAGGATCAACTTGATCCGAAACATTACTACCGATTTGTGAGGTGATAAAATTGGGAGCAGACTGCACCTTGGGTAGAGTCTGACGCTTCGGTGTTTCAAAATGGCTGCGTCTCAAACGAGCACTGTTTCTATGTGCAGCTCTGTAGATCAACACGTAGATGATACAGATTGTGATAAAAGGAGTCACGATAACAGCTCCTAGGTAAAAGACACCATAGCCTAGTAACCAGTAACTGGGACCACCTTCGACTCGGACATGAATCAACTGATGAGGGTTGTCTTTTAGATTTGGGAAAAATGACGCGTTGCCGTTCATCAAAGCGACTAGACAGGACGATGTCAACGAGATTAGATAACTGGTGAGAATCAAGAGAAGACTCTTGGGTTTGTTCATATAGCTATGACAACGTAGCGGATGCAATACTGCAAGATATTGATCGACTCCAATAAGGAGTATGCTTAGAATCGACGCCGTGCAGATGAAATTCAGCGTGAATTGCGCCAGCATCGACGGGATGTTGATGATGTTGAATGTAGACTCTGATGACCATGATGTATTCGATGTGTCATTCGACAGTCGGACGTCAAGACCGCCATTTTGATTCGTATGGGATTCCAGGTCCAGGATGACAAAGGGCACCAAGATGGCGCTGCTCAGCAGACTGATGAAGAGCAGATTTATTACAAATCTACAATAAAAATATAAATTAATACTTTATAAACCAAAGATATGTAAATAAATAATCATTACCTGTTTGAAACAGTCCTTAAACTCCTTCTCTTTGTGAATAGCAACAAAAGTAACAGGTTGATTGTTACTGTGATGATGGAGAAGGTAACCAAGAGTGTTGTTGTCCAATGGTTGGCATAACTAGCAACCGAAGGTGATGACGTTGTTTGAAATTCACTGAAACAAGAAATATCGGTTTTATTTAAGATGTTTTAATAGGGGATGTGGTAAACATCCCGTTCTCGACAAATATATTATAGAAAAAAAAACACACAAAACGCCATAGGCGTTGAGTGGTACCTGCCACCACGTTGAACTACCTTAAGGTAAAAATGATTAAATTTTCATTGAGAGACGTTCTTCAAACGCCATCTCATAGTCAAGTATAAAACTTACAACACTGCATTAAAATATAGAAACCTGTAATTTCATAAATTTGGTATTAGTCTACTAGATGGCGATACCATAAACAAAATTATATTTTATTTTAGTTTTTGCGTGTGTACATTGAATTGAAGCCACTTGAAGTTCTTGTATTCATTTCTTCGGCTTGTATTTCAAACATGCGTGCTATTTATATCGATGACGGCATTGTCCGCGCGCAAGTCTTGCAACTTCTTTTTTTTATTTAGTTTAATTTATGCCAGTGTGAACGTGAATGTGAACTCTGCGAGCGCAAAAAGTTTTAATCTCATATTATATTCACTTCGAGATGAGTGAGAAGAGATTGTAATATGACGCCATTACTTTTGTAACGCGATATGTGCTCTTTTGTTTCCTTCTATCGTTCTTCGTCGGTTTCACAACAAAAATTTTGAGTTTTGCATTCGCTCATGACTGGAATAGCAAACAAAGGTCGTTTATCGTGCATAAATTATTCATTTTTACTGCAATGCAATCATGGAAACATTGAAACAATTCTTTGTTCAATCACACACTCACTTTTCAATATGAATTTTAATAAATTTAATAAATAATTTAATTTTATGTAAATTTATCGCGATTTATTTCTGTCTAATCAAAATCCGGTTATTAATAACAGCAATTTAATGACGATTAACAACAATAAGTGATAAATATCCGATTTCTCAACTAGTAACAAATTTCTTCATTTGTTGTTAGAATATTGTTTACAACTATGTGTATTTCAAGTTCAATTTTATGTCTACTAGTTTTAATTTTTATTTTTATGTGTGTGATTATATTTTATGAGCTTTTGTTCGAGTTATTAACGAAATTGAATAATTGCAAGGTCAGCAAGTATTTCGAGATTAGTCCGAACGGGTCAATGAGTCAGTTGTAATTTAATTATATTTTCAATAATTATTTATCTATAATTGTTTGACACGTGAGTGCGATGACACCGGCAGACACCTTCATCATGATGATGAAACTCATCATCAGCGTCATCAGTTCATTCATTCAATGCGGTTTTTTACAAGTCATTGTGAAATTTTTTTATAGTGCGAATGTCATATGTGTAGGATAACGGTCTTAAAATGAGAAATTTATGCTTTTGTGTAGTTATCTTTGAATAACTTAAAAAGTATTAGTGATAACAACATTATTTTCTCATGAGTGGATTCTATATTAGATTCTGTATATAAGTTGTAAATATTGTTTAAAAGTAGTGTTTATATACAGAGTAATGAAGAAATTATTTCGATGATATTTTTTTTTAAGAAAAGTAATTTCAATTGTTACTAAATTATTATTTTTTACATTTATAAACATAAACTTTATATAATTTTATGTAGAATTTAATACTGAATCGATATATGCAAAGAAAATTATTATAACATTAAAAGTTTATGAGTTATTAATAAATAACTAAACAAAATCAAATTTTTCTTATTTTTAGACCGCTATTCCTAACTATGCATAAAATCGAATATAAACTTAGATTTTCTTTCGAATTTCGAAGTGAAAAATGTAAATTATGTTTCTCATAGTGTACATTAACACTTTTGACAGCTTTCCACGTCGAATTTATTCTCGTGCGAAAGCTGGTGATTTATTTATAACGCTTAGTTTTTGAACTATTTTCAGCCGCATGTCTCGCGTCCGCTCAAAATGACTTATGCAACAGTTGAAACACGCACAATTTTCAACATATTTTAGGTTATATTACAGTGTACAGTAGGTTACATTGTTAAAAGAGAGACTAGGTTATGTATTGTGTTGCGTCACGACGTCACCATTTCGCATTTCTTTCCACGCCATTCAAACTTCTGCGTGAATTGATTCGCCGCTCGTAAAATCTACGCTGAATGATGCAACACAACAATACAGCAAGCTGCAGATGGTAACGATGAGAAATAACTATAAAATTTAATGATTAAAATGGTGTTACAGTTATACTTAGGTTATATCTATTGTGAATGTGTGATTATAACACTGTTTTTAGGTTATGCGTCTGCGAATAGATGGCGTAAGTGTAGATTATGAAATATTTGTGTTTTGCGAGCTTGTGAATTAATTCCATGGCCAAAACAAACATATTCTGCGTATTTTGATGTTTTGACGTGTTTTCAAACATCATCACAACTTGTAACGATTTAAAATTTTAAAATTCACTTGTATTTATTTAATTTCAGCATGATGCTATAAATAGAAAGCGCTATAAAATAGCAGAGTGATGATGATGATTATTATTATAATCGTCATTAAGACGAGAATTTTATTCGAGTTTTATTTCGGTTTGCAAAGCAGTTAAGTGCGCAGATTTATACGCTGAATATTTAGATCTCACCTGTTTAAAGTGCAAAAATAGCAGGTATGTAGGTAATATAGTTAGCTGGTAAGAGAATAAGTAAGAGGAGATCCTTTTCAAGATCCGTCTTGTAATGTTGTTCTTAGACTTTGTTTGTTTGTTGGTTTAATTGATTAATAATTGAATGTTTTGTTAGTTTTTTTTATTTGATTATATACTGCATTTCCTTGTTCTTATCCTTGTGAGTGAATAATTTACACTTGTTCACTTTTTTTTAGTTTTTTATTGGTTTGTGTTTTCTCGTTTCCTTGTTGATTTAGAAACTGAGATATTTCCTATATTTTGTAATAAAGCTAGATTATAGCGTCATTTTATTAAAGGTAGGCTAGGTTGACGTGATAATGTGTTAATTTTAATTACAATATCATAAAATATAATAAACAACGTTGTGATAGTGTAGAATGTTAAAGTTTAATGTTCAACACATTATAGATTATCGAGAATGCTGATAAACTTTCAGTGTTAAGGCAATTTTGGCTGGTTTCTTTATATAATAATTTAAAATGATAAAATGCGGATATTTTCAAATTTAATTTGTTATTATATTCTAAAACGATTATCAGTATTAGTTTTAATTTGTAGACAATAAAGGAGTTTTATAGAGGATTGAAAATTCGATTATCAACTTCAGTCTTTTGTTATTTCGAACGCTGTTTTAAGTTGAAATTTCGAAAAATAGAAAAACACATCTTACATTTAATTACCTGTTAGATTCCAAGATATTGTACAGATCGCTTAATATTTATGCAAGTTGCATGCAATTTATTAGAAAAAAAATCAATTACAATGGTTCTATTAAATTTTAAACTTTGAACGTAATTTTCATCAATTTCTAGTTAAAATTTCGCAATATAGTAAAAATACGTACCTTTTTAAATTTAATTATTAATCTTATAACTAAAAATTATGAAGATCGATAAAGAATTGTAGAAAATACAAGCAGTTTTAGAAAGTTCAGAATATGGCAGAGACTACCATGTATCTGATTAACATGTTGAACTTTGAACGCGTTTTCTGCCCATTTCCAACAAGAATTTTGCAAAATGCTAAAAATACGTCCCACCTAAAATTTAATTATCTATCGTGTCTCAAAATTTTATAAATGTCGGTTTAAAACTGTAGAAAATACAAGACGTTTTAATAATGAGCTACAAAAACAATTTCCACAACTATCTAGTTTTATTCTTATTATTATCATTCAAACACTGTAAATCACTATTTGTTTGTACTTGAATTCCTGAACAAATCATATTTACACTAATCAAGTATAAATTGTTTCTAAACGCTCGAGCAAACATGTCCTTTGAGCGATTTAATTTGTTTAATTTATTAATTTATCTCCTATTTCACAACAAACAGCAAATTACGCCTTAGAAAACATCTTAAACAACTTAAGTGTGATTAAACCATCTGAAGCGTTAAAGGATACCAATTTACCGGGCAAAAAATATAACAATAAGTAAATTATTATAAAATAAAATAAAATTGTAAAAAAAAGAAAAGAATAAAAAATATAATTGTGTCGGAATGTGGGTGCTTGTAGAATGTAGAAACATTGATGAAGAGGTAGACACAAGCCGTGAGAGGGTCAGCTAAGACCTTGGCCCGGAAAGCGTGCGATTCTCGAAGGATGCGAAATGCAATAAAGAATAATAAATGGAAAGACAAAACAAGCAGATATAAAATATCACGTAATAGCGCAGATTTTAATAAAAACAGCCTCATTAATTACTTTCTTGTATCCAGAGGGCATTTTATGCCAAATTTGTCAAAAAATATTTTAAATTTTAAATTAAAGAAAAGAGAAATGCAAATAATGCACATTAGCGCCATCTATGTGTAAAATATATAACTATAATTGTGATTAAATGTCCATATCTACTTTCATCCCTTATTTTACACCCTTAAAGTTATATTTTTCGATAAAAAGTAGTCTATATTATTTTTCAAGATCAAAGATATTTCTATACCAAAATTTATCAAAATTGATCGAAAGGTTTTTACGTAAACGCGAAACAAACAAACAAACTCTGATTAAAACTATTATTTTGTATTTTCGCAAAATCCAATAAAGCAAAATAGTCGCCGGATGTAACAATTAAAGACCTTAGTAAATAAATAGTCCAAGGACCAAAAAACGTAGGTCGTAGAGCAATCCTTGAATGCCTTCTTCAATGATTTGAGATTGAGAACATCGCAACATCTTACACTCTAGATCACATCAAACATAAACAAGGACGAATCCACGAAAAGGACAAAAATAACATCGGCCGAATCATACGCATCGCGACGCAGGACCTTCTTTGCGTCGCAATAGACTTCCACGAATATCATATAAGGATGCAACTGCACAAAACAAAACAAAATAACTAACATATCCTATGGAAGATAAGAAAATAATTTT